GTCGGCCATGTCATGCTGACACCTTAGGGACTGTTTATTCATTGTGAGAGGGAATCATGCTGTGTAGAATGGCCAGACCTAAGAGAGGGTGTTTTATAGTTTTTAGTCTAGTTATTTTTGCTTATACTTTTCTGATAATTTCTTTCTAGCAGTGTCTAAAGGTCAGTGAATGTATATACTCTCAAAGCATTGTGCCCCATCCATGGTAAGGCAGTTTTCTAAGTTATGAATTTGATTTAGTAAGTTGCTTCCTAATAAAGTCAACTCCATTGGCCCTAGAGTTATCTTTGTGGGTGGTGGGGGGGAAAGAAGATTGTTTATCTTCTACTCCAATGTCGTTCTGAATTCCAAAATACACTACTCAGTCCTTTTCTTTCTTTCCTTTTTTTAAAAAAAGATTGATTGATTGATTTATACAAGAACCGGGGTACAGGCCAGATGTGCGGGAGGGTGAGAGGATTCACCAGAGACAGAGCGAGAAACAGAACAGGCAGACTGAGGAAATACACTGCTGAGGGGAGCAGGGGGTGAGACAGGAGAAGTCTGCTGTGCCATGTGGGACCCTCGCTGACCCACCGGGATCAATCCCGCGCTGCAGAGGCTGCAGACAGCTTCACAGTGCTGTGCTCAACTGCCTGCACCACCAGGGGAGGTCCTCGGTCCTTTTCTTACTTAGTTCCTCTTTCCCAACACTTTCATGCATCCCCATGATGGGTTTCAAGGAAACTTGGCGTCTAGGATGTCTCTGGACTTAAGAGCACAGAGAACTGAAGTCATGCAACATTCCCTCGCATGCCTGTAGCAAGGAAGCATATAGAAAGCAATTTTTTTTTTTTTTGAGAAATGAAAAACTCGTAAAGATGTAATGGCTCATCTACAATGTAATTATACATTATCTTAACTGAAAGACATCTTGCCAAAACTTGAAAGCGTAAGCTATTCCTAAAATGGTGCTGTGCTTCTACACTGGAACTATTATCTGGCAGCCACAGTGACAGAAATAGATGGAGTGCTGGAAACTATGAGTATCTACTCCGAAGAGAAACTTTATTATCATTATTGCATATTTCCCCTCTCCATCCCTCTAGCCACCCCCCCTGTCCTTTCTTCCTTCCTTGGACCCTAACTCCTTTTGGATAGTATTGAAAAGGTAAATATACAGACTACAACTTACTAGAGCACCTCTTTTGGGGACCTTCACCTTTTAGGTAAAATGAATTCACCGACAAACTTTACTAAGAAACCAACTGAAGGCACTGAGCCTTCCTGCCATAGTCTTCAAGTTTAACAAAAATACTTCATAATATGGATATGAAATACCTTGGTTATTTGTAGACAACTTCTTTTTTAAAAAAAAGATTTATTTATTTTTGCATACAAGAACTGGGGTGTAGGCCTGAGTTGTGGGGGTGAGAGGATTCACCAGACAGAATGGGGAGCAGAACAGGCAGATCTACTGAAATACACTGTTGAAGGGAGCAGTGGGCAAGACAGGAGAGGCCTGCTCCGCCAATGGGTTAGCTCCCTGGCTGGTCAGGGTTTGAACATGCTGCAGTGACTGGTGATAGCTTGATAGTGCTGTGTCTATAACCCCTGCGCCACCAGGTTGGCCCCTAGACCACCCTTCTGAATATGATTTTGAGATCCAGGGGAAAACTGTATGCTGGTGAAAAATTAGGGAAGGTTCCTTTTTATTCCCAAACATTTTAGGAAATTTTTCTATTTTTGAGACCCATTAGTGAGCAGTGGTAAAAACTGGGAACTCATGAAACCCCCCAGCCCTCCTCCCTGCCATGAAAAACCACTGTCCTAGAGTATGCATATCTTAAAGATTTTTTATTTCTATTTTCTGGAAAAGCATATTAATTATGGAATTTTGAACTTTTCCATCCTCTACCCTGAGCATATATTTGTCAACTTCATATACCCACCCATGGAAATTCTGCAAAGTATAGATTTAATGATTGATAGCTTAAATTATGCCCTATTAGCCTCAAAAACTGGTATTGTTATTAAATAGCTATTTGGCATGATACAAGTATATGACCAGTTTAAATTCTTGTTATTTTGTGACATCTATCTGTCTATTTATCTACTAGCTATCTACTATCTATCTGTTTATCTATTTTCTCTCAAAGATTTTCAAGTTCTTTGTTCTTTGAAATAAAAAGTTGCAACAGCATATATTGGACCTTCTCTTTCATTCCCCCCCCCCGGTTTTATTTTATCTTCTTCATTTGTGCAGGCTTTCATCTGGGAACATTTAGCGGATTAATGCTACTTCTGTTTATTTCCTATGGAAGCTCTGTTATAAACAGATAGGATCGTGTGTTTCTTACTTCTCTTAGTCTTATATTTTTCCTCATCATTTTTTCTGTTCTGTTTTTTCCTTTTAGGTTTTGAGAATTGAGATAGGTTCTATTGAAGATTTTTGTCAATTCCTGAAAGACTCATTAAGCTTCAAATGAAGGGAGACTATTTTTAAGTTTAAATTTACGCTCATTTTATTTTGCCCAGTTCAGAGTCCAAAAACCCAAGGAGGTAATTGGGCCCTGGAGGTGAGAGTCAAAAGTGGAGGCAGCCTTAGCCAGGAGTGCATTCTGCTGAAGAGCTTCCATTCCTTAGTTGGAACAGTGCTCAGGACTTGCTGCCACAGCTTCCCCATTCTCTGGCAAGCTGACTGTCCACTGCGTGTGACCAGGAAGTCCTTCCGTTCCAGCTCCCTGTCTCATGCTGCCTCCAAAACCAGAACACTTTCTAGTGCTGCTGGTGGAGCTGCTGGGCTGACCTGCACCCCCAAACCTGCCAAAACCTCTGCTGATTTCTTCTGCATAGTGCCCTTTTGCATATTGGAGATTCAAAAGTCAAGTAGCAGCTACCCTTAATCTGATATCCTCTGCATTTTACATTGTTGAAATTCCTGGGAATTTCTCTTGTATAACTTACACTTGCCTACTCTTAAAGGTTGATTTGGCGTTTTTGCTCATTCTTAATTGATCGTTTTCATGGCGATCTGGAGAGGAGTAGTTTATATTAGCCAAGAAGTAGACCTGTTCTCTTTTATGGATGCTAGTCTGAGCATATTTTGAAGTCAGGAAGTTGGAACAGCTTTGGGAAATGGAGACGTGATGTGAAGTATCCTGCTAGGATGTTTCTCATTTGGTTACTGATGGTGGTCAAGGCTGCTGAATAACAAGACAACAATGGCCTGATTGTAACAGTTGCCTTAAAAAATAACTGGGAAATAGAAGGGTGTTGTTTAAGAGTACAAACTTCCAGTTCTGATTTATTTATTTATTTATTTTAAAAAAGATTTATTTATACAAGAACCAGGGTACAGCCCAGATGCACGGAAGGGTGAGAGGATCACCAGAGACAGAGCGGGGAACAGAACAGGCAGACTGACTAAACACACTGATGAGGGAAGCAGCAGGTGAGACAGGAGAGGTCTGCTACACCATGTGGGACCCTCACCCACTGGCTGGGATTGAACCAGTGCTGTAGAGGCTGTGGACAGCTTCACAGCACTGCGCTCAACCGCCTGCGCCTCCAGGGGAGGCCCCCAGTTATGATTTAAATATGTTCTGGGCTCTAATTACAGCATGGTGACTACACTGAACAATACTACGTTGCATAGTTGAAAGTTGCGAGCATCTTAAATGTGGATCTCACCACATACACAAAGATAATGTGGTGATGTGATATGATGGATGTGTTCACTAACTATTTTGGCAACTGCATAGCATGTGTATGTGCATGAAATCATTATACAATGTGGTATGTCAATTAAATCTCAATAAAGCTAGAAAAAAATAATTGTGGGTCACGTTGTGACTATATTCATCTCAATTTGATTCCATCTTTATGTCAACTTAGGAAGTTTGGTTGGATTTCCATTTTATAGCTGGCACTCAGAGAAGGTAAATAACCTTGCCTGGTACTACATAGTGACTGCTGTGAAGTGGGATTTGAAACTAAGATTGTCCTCAGTTTCTGCTCATGACTTTGCTGACTGTTGAACAGCCTGGAGAGTTTTTCCAAATTCCAAATCTCTGTGGCATTTACAGTTTTCCCAGTTACTAGTCTTGGCCATCGTTTGGCATCAGCTCTCATCTATACTGAGAATTTCTCTGTGCAAATAATGTTCGTGTAAATAAGAGAGAAGCACGTTTCATCATTTGTCTTACACTGTCTACAACTCGATTAGCAGTGGGCAATGTCTTATCTTTAGTGCTTTGGCTTATTGTGCTTTCTCATTTTTGAAAAAGTAGGGTATTTACCTGTTAAATAGAAGAATTCTCCTTTAGGAAAAGAGCTTGTCTTCATGTATTCTTTATACAACTCTCTATGGTTGTTTTGTGGCTTAAATCTCCTTTCCTGACTTGGGGCACTTGTGGGCTGGTGGCTTGCTGTTCTCTATGGCCACTGTGAGCACAGCACCTTCCATGTAACAGAATCTCTAATGGTGCTTAGTGATGTTGCTGCTGGTCATGCTTTACTACCAATAACACCAATAAAATTGAGAAGCAAAATCACTGATAATTTGGGAACTTTTTGAAAGATAAATTGGGTAAAAGGGGTCATTGAACGGTGAAGAATTGGAAACCATACTTTTGGTGTTGAACATAATCTATTATAGATGAATGTTGGTTTATAATGCTGTACTCCTGAAAATTATATAGCATTACAAACCAATGTTACTTTTATATAATTTTTTTAAGAAAGAAAAAAGGTAGTTAGAAGGTATTGGGGTGGTTGGTGCCTGGTGGATGAGACCATGTTAGGTTTTGTTTTACAATGGCAAAAATTTTTCGTACTTATTTTATGATTTTCTCTTTTGAGAAATACTGATCAGCTCCATCATTCGACTTGTGTTTTCCTGTCACATATGTTGGAATAAATAAAAGCATTTGCTGAATATAAAATTTATAACTTTAATTGTAGGATCATTCCCTTGTTTCCTCTATTCTAATTGAATTATATCTCCCCCGCCCCTTTAGGTTACGGTCTTTGGTCAAACAATTAGAGAGAGGGGAGGCTTCGGTGGTAGATCTTAAGAAGAATCTGGAATATGCAGCTACAGTGCTTGAATCTGTGTACATCGACGAAACCAGGTAAGCTAAACGTGACAGAGGTTAGCACAGCGACCGTGGCTTTTCTAAGGGTATCCCCCCCAACCCCGGCAAGGATGGGGTGGTATTCAAATGACTGGGCTTGGAACTTGAAGTTCCACAAACAAACGGGATAGACTAAGATATGTCAGATATCCTTTGTACCTTTTTCATCTATGAAATGGAACTGATCTCCCAGCCATTATGGCAATGAAGTGAGATAATTTATGTAAGAGGAGAAAAAGGAGTTTCTAAAAATATTTTATCAAACTCAGATTTCCATGGTATATTGCATGGTGTTAACTTGTGTCTAAAAATGATGTCCATGTTTTAAGGTATATTATCCATCCATAAGTGGAGATTCCTGAAGGGAGAGAGAAACATCTGTTCTCTCTAGCACCCAGTGTTCCCCCTAAGAGCTTATGTATGTTAATGATTTTCTTAGCAGAGTCTTTCCATTTGACTTGTGCAAAATTATTAAAGAAATTCCAGTTACTTAATGTACTTGAAAGTAACGAAATGGCTTTTTTTTTGGGGGGGGGGAGGTCAAAATGGTAAATAAGAAAGGGTTTTTCTCTTTTTTTTCTAATTTATGATGTTTTACTTTTCTATGGCAATTTCTGATCTGAAAAGGTTTCCCTGTTTTCTAAGGGCTATGTAGTTTAGGTTTTGGTGATGTGTTTGTCTCCTTATTTAAGGACATTTGCAATCAAAACTTTTTCCAAATTCTGTATTTCCCTCCTCTTCTCCCCAATTGATGTGTCTAAAAGAAAAAAAAATACCCTCACTGATACTTACTTTTACTGTTCATTTTTGATAGGGTTTAATGTTAGTATAAAATACAATTTTCAGGGCCTCCCCGGTGGCGCAGCGGTTGAGCGCTGGGTTGCGAACCTGCCCGCAGCCTCTGCGACGCCGGTTCGATCCCCGGCTGCTCCCCGGCCACCGGAGGAGGGTCCCACATGGCGCGCAGACCTCTCCTGCCGCCCGCTGCTCCCCTCAGCAGTGTACTTCGGTCCTTCTGCCTGCTCTGCTCCCCGCTCTGGCTCTGGTGAATTCTCTCACCCTCCCGCGCTTCTGACTGTACCCAGTGCTTGTATAAACAAACAAACAAATAAATAAATAAATAAACAAGCCTCTATTAAAAAAAAAAAATACAATTTTCAAGTTTACTATTCTCTGTACGTTCTTTTCTAGTTTTCTAACCTATGAGCAATTTTGCAATCACTGTGTAAAGAATTGCACTGTTGTGGAAATTTTGCTTAAGTTTAGACATTAGCGTTCTGCATGACTTATCAAACTAGAGAGAATATCAGTTGATATCATTTAGGTTCATTACTTCGGAGGACTGTGTTGAGGTGACTTATGTAATACTTCGCAAAGCATTTATTTTTGTTTCTTTTCAGAGTCTGTGCTTTTGGGATATAACTGACATGTAACATTGTATAAATTTAAGGTGAACAATATGTTGACTTGATATATTTATATAGGGAGAGCTATTGCAATATGCTCACCATCATAATGTCAGCCAACACTTCTATCATATCATATCATATAATTACTGCTTCTTTTTTGTGGTGGAAACAAGATCTATCTCTTAGCAACTCTTTATGGTAAATATTGTCATCTATAAGAAAGTCTTCAAATGTCCATATTTTTAAATGGACATATACTATAATGCCATATGACCCATCTATGAAATAAATTTCCATGTGAATGCATTTTAAAATGGAAGGTTGATTCCATTCAAATTAGACAAACCTAGGGATAAAGATACTGGGTATTCTCGAGTGTGAGGGGTCTGAGATCCAGGAGCTTGAGATGGAGACTTTTAGACTTTCCAACTCCTTGGAACCTCTGTCCAGTCTTGTGGACAGAAAACCATCCTGGACCATAAATGATGGGAAAGGCCATTCTGAAAGAGATGGTTCTCACAAGCCTTACTGTAAAGGTGCTATATTTGTTAGGTGGCTAATTTAATTTGGTTTCCTTGCACCTGTGTGTTCAGGTAGACTAGAGATAGAAACAGTTGTTTTGAACAGAAAGTTCTCACTTCAGATTTCATCTCCATGTCCTGATTGTGTATTGGGTTTCTTGCGTTCAGGCGACTCCTGGATACAGAGGATGAGCTCAGTGACATCCAGTCGGATGCGGTGCCTTCTGAGGTTCGAGACTGGCTGGCTTCCACCTTCACCCGACAGATGGGGATGATGCTCAGAAGGAGTGAAGAGAAACCACGATTCAAGAGCATCGTCCATGCAGTACAGGCTGGGATCTTTGTGGAAAGGTAAATGCAGACGTCATTCAGGAACCAGAGCAGCAAAAGGAACACCAGTTTTTGTAATTGGAAGCTTTGCTTCAATGTAATCCTGGTACTTTTATAAATACTTTTCTATTTAAATTTTGTGTTTTAAATATTTAGTATCTTTATAAATATCGATATTATAAATGTAACTATCTGGCTGGGAAAGGGTAGTCTTGAATAAGAAATGACCAAAAAATTATGTATTTTTAATCTCTGTAGCATCATTTGGACAAACTGCATTTGTTCAAAATTCCTTTTGTTAACCAGAAAAGATGTAGTTTGAGTTCAAACTCTAGATTCTTCAGAAAAACATCATTTAATATATCATTCGTTAGCATATGTGGATGGTGTCTGCATTTGGAACAAATCAGGGATATTTTGGGGTTGTTGACCCAGAGGGGACAGTTGTTTCAAGGAATTGAGTTCCCCATGACACTTTCCAATTTTGTTAACCATTTTGTTCTTTGAAATGGAATTGCCCCGGTTCTTAAAAATTGAGAAATAGAGTTACTCTTCCTGTAATTCTTTTTGCACAATTATGTGTTTAGAAATACCATGGTCAGGTCAAAGTTCACCTGGGACATTTTTCCTTCTAGTTTTTGACAGTTCTAAAGAGCAATCTCTTCTGAATCAGTTACCTCTAGAAGTTCTCCTTTCAGAAAGTACCACATTGCATACTGTCCATGTCACTTCTGGCAGAAGAGGTGACCCATTTTTAATACTTAATTTCCCATTTGGGACGCACAGATAGTTTTTGTCCCTAGAGGTTCATGTGTTTTCAATTGCTTTAATTTCTTTAGAATTTAACATTTAAGCCACTTGAGTGACTATGAAATAGGTTGTAAATGAATTTTCAGGTTCCTTGGGTAACCAGGTGATGCCCCTTCTCATATTCTATCAAAACTTGTTATAAATCTGTGACTTGCTAATCCTCCTTTGTCAAATACAATATTGCATTTTCCCCCTCTGATTTTGCCAGAATGTACAGACGAACATCAAACATGGTTGGACTGAGCTACCCACCAGCAGTTATTGAAGCTTTAAAGGTAACACCAATGAAAAGTCTTGACTATGTACATTGTACCCAATAAAAAATTCAGTTAAATTTGTTACAAAATAAGTTTTCATACAGTTCATGTATAGTTTTCCCAGTCATTTATGACTTTTTGTTCTTTTATTACCTTTTACTAATCTATTTGAACAGTATCACTCTATTTTGAGTCTTGGTCTTGCTAATTAAAAAAAGTCAAACGCTGGGTGGGTTTTTAATTCTTTCTGTTCCCCTGGAATAGTTTAGTGATCTGTACATTGTGGTACACAGGCTGATTTTGACTCTAGGAGATCAAATTTGTTGTGGTTATAGGTATTCAACATCAGGCCTTTGGTGATCATAATTTTACCATTATCTGATTTCTTACTCAAAGTTCATTGTAGATTAAAAAAAAAAGCAAACTTAGACTCAGAAAGTTTTTAGAAAGTCACATGCATTTAGAGGCAGAACTAAGGCTTGCTACAACCTTCTCTCAATAACATTTTGCTGCAGGAATGAATGCCCCCAGCGCCTTTGTCCTTTCCACATATAGTACTATTCTCTGAAGCCTCTCCCTGGGTCTAAAAGCTCCATGGGAAGACATGCAGATGTTTGCATTTAAGTGAACTGAATGTTGCAGAATTACTCCCAATCAAGCAAACTTCTGGATTGTAGACTATCTTTATGAGGCCCAAAGCAGATGTACCCCTATCGGTGTGATGTTGCAGATCCACAGGGCTGGGGGCATCCCAGCTGGGTTAAAGCTATTCTGGCTTCTGGATGGAGCACAGGGCTGTGCTGAGATCTAGGATCACTGGACTGGTTGACTTTGCCGGGTGCCTACACTAGAAGTCGATTCACTTGCTAGGAACGTCCTACCTTTCTATTGTTAAAACATTTTGTTGCTTTGCTCTCAAACCTGAAAAGGGTATTATCTGATGATATTTTCAGAAGATAACTGAAATTGCCATGTCATGAAAGCAGGGGTAGGGTGCTTCTTAATTTAATGTCAGGAGAGAGTCCTTTAGGGTCATTTTGATTATGTATTCATAGTGCTCTCTTTTATCTCAGAGACATTCAAGGGCTGAGTTTGTGAGACCCATATATGCAGGCATCTTTTTTCGGTCTTTCTTTTCCTCTGTCTTTTTAGCTCTTATAAGAACAGAAAGGATATGTAAGAAGGATAAAAGAAAAAGTTAAATGTTTTCTCTTATTCCTCTTTAACCACATACTTATGCCCAATACCTCAGTGTGATTTACAGCTCATTTAATCAGTGAAATCACTTTACAAGAACAATGTTTCATAAAACTCACTATGAAGTTGCATTGATTTTGATAATTGAACTTGAAACAGTCAGTGAAAGTCTTTTTAATTTCTTCCTTTATTGTGAACATAAATACAGGTGGTTATATAGATACAAAGAAATTTATGAAAATATTTCTTCCTAAATGAAGCAGCTTTTGTATGCAGACTAACTGAAGAAAAGGTGGGACAACTTGTTATGCTCATGAGCTGTTATTTTACTTTTGGGGAAAAATAACTCTCAGATGCACACAAGTTGTCTCTCTGAGTGAAAGATACTTAGATGTTTCAGACAAAGAATGAGCACTAACTCAGAATTGCTACCCTTCTCCACATGTCTTGCTTGTATGTACATAAGCCTAAAACTGCTATTTCTCTTGTTCTCCTGTTTACTGGGGAAGTTCAAGACCTTTTTACAATGTAATATGTTTCCGCCTCCCAAGACTCTGGTTTTATTTGCAGTGGACTGGAGGTGAGTTGGAGAAATCACACGGATGGGTTCTTTTTTTATGTAGTGCCTGTTAGGGAAAGGTTATTTCCACTTTGCCACTGGCAGTTTATGTGGAATCACTATTGTTTTCTTCTAGTACAGAAAATTTCCCCAAAGACTGAGAGAATACAATTCAATAAAATACCCACGCTGCTACTGTCATGTTAAACTTTGTGATTATTCTAAGAACATGGCCTAAAATAACATTTAAGTAAGAGAATAATTAAGCACCACCAACCTCTAGATTTGGAATATGAGAACATGCTTTTCTTCTTTTTGTTTTCTTTCCATTCAATTTATATTAACTTCTAATTTGGTGTGTTTGCTTCGGCAGCACATATACTAACTTCTAATTTGGGGTGTCTGAACTCTGGTACTTGGGGTGGGTCATAAATCATGTAGACATGTGCTGTCTTTTGTGGCTCAGGAAGAAACACCCTGGACAGATTCCAGGTTTAAAGAGGGAGGAGGGAGATGAGGAGGATCAGGCTTCCTTTACAGTGGACTGGTAGGGAGTTCCTGCATTTTCTCCATGCCAATAGCCCTGAGGCCAAATTTGGTTAAAGAGAAGTGGCTTACAGCAGTTAAAATTGATGCTTATTAAAATGCAGATTCCAGACCCACACTGGGAGGCTGCAGTTTTCCTCCCAAGAATTACCATTTTTTTTCTGAGTGCTCCAGGTGGTTCTGAAGAGCATTAAAATTTGAGAACCACAGTTAACACCTCCCAAACAGGAGGGCCTGGAGAGGACAGCTGTCTCACTGTCTCTTTTTACTCATCCTCCTGTTTCTCTGAGTCCTAATATTCAAAGTAAATCTTGATTTTTTGCTATGAGAATCTATTTCTTTCCAGTGATATAGAGCCCCACCCCATTTTACTCTGAAGAATAAAATTAAAAATCATCACACGTGACAAAGTGTCTCTCCACTTACTGAATTGTCAGTGGACTTTTTTTTAGGACCATTGGTCAGACAATAGACATTGTGATGATGCCAATTATAGTAGTAAAGGTGATGCTTTAGATCTTGAGTTCTTGATGACCTCACTACCTGTGGTCTGGCCCTGTTGGTGCCACAGCAGCATTATTCATTGAGTTAAAAATGCCATCTGCTGACAATGATATCACCAGTGGTGTCAGTGGAGTTCTTCTGTGGTTCTGCTACCCAGTGACATTAGACACTTGAATCTGAGGTTGTCACCTTTAAACCTCAGGGAAGTAACATCTGTTTCTAAAGTTGTGAGAATTTGCAAATGCATATAAAATACTTTGCATGTGCCTGGCACAGAAAATGTTCTCACTGCTTACAGCCATTTCTTTAGTTATTATAATGAAAGAAAATTTATTGAAGGTTGAGGTGAGGTTCCAACAAGTGTGAATTGAAATGATTCAGTTGGAACCTTTTTGGAAAGGTCTGGTATTCCCTATCTGTATTTCAGTTTTCTTGTGCCCTGTCATTAATGAGAGAGGCACTTGATGGTCTTAGGATAATCCTGACCTTTGGGATGGTGGGAGAATGAAGGGTTGAGGTGGGTGCATGATGTTGGGTGCAGTGAGGACAGAGGTAAGGACTCCCAGCCCAGCAGTTCCTGAACGCCAAGGTCTCCTTCAGGAACCATCTAAATGTCGCCTCACGGGTATCCTTTCTGTACTTTCTTTAAAGCTGAAAGTAAAACTCTGGGTGTGATGAGAAATCAAAGAGCTGTTGCTTTTACTATTGCTTAAACACACCTTTGTTCATTACTTTGCTTTTAAGTCAAAGGCTCAGCAGACAGTACAGTGTTCACAAATATTTTGGAGTAGCTATTTATAGACAGGTTTTGAACTTCAAGAACAGTGTATGAAGAGTGTGTTTAACTTAGTTCTTCATTTTACTCTTTTCAGCAAAGTAATGTGATAGGTTTAAGGTCTAGGTCCCTGGATCGGTGACCCCAAAAGTGGTAGTGTTTTTCTGTCTGTGACATGAAAGCTTTTTCCTTGCTTTCAGCTCAGCAGTTTAGATTGAAGTGGCTTTTTATATTGACACCTGTTTCTGTACACTTTTAAGTGGGTTAACACTCAGTGTGGAAAAAGAATAATTCAGTAGATAGTATCAAGCAGATGGGGAGAAATTTAAAGTAGGGAAGCACCCTAGGTAGCCATGAGTGAATTAAGAACATGGCATTTAGCAATTGTAGCTGGAGGGCTTGATGGAAAGATTCTGAACTTAGTCAACAGTTAAGCATTATCTGTGTTCTGGCCCCTTGTATGTTCCTAGAACTTATTCACAGTGGGTCTTGGAGAAATTAGTTAACTTCTCTGTTTTCTCATGTGTAAAGTGAAATATTATTACCTAATCCCTACAGTTATTTTCAGGATAAATTTTATTCATCCCATCACAATGCTGAACAATTGGTAGGCACTCAGAGATTCTAGCTGTGATTAGTAATAATTCTATTTAGTATTTTATCAGGAATGTTACGTACCTCTGCCAGGAGGGGAAAAGTGAGCGTGAGCAGGGCTTTGGATTCTTAGGCTGTGAAATCCCAGGTGAGGGCTGCAGGCTGATCCCAGAGGGGCTGGGACAGCAGTAGCTGCATGATCGGCTGTGGACTGATGCCTTATTTCTCTTGACCTTGTTCTGCAGGATGTGGACAAGTGGTCTTTTGATGTCTTTTCCCTCAATGAAGCCAGTGGGGATCACGCATTGAAATTCATTTTCTATGAGTTACTCACACGCTATGATCTGATCAGCCGTTTCAAGGTCAGTGCCTAATTTTTAAAAAATGCACACATTTGTCCATCTTTGCATGAATTTGGGCCAATGCCAAGAGAATCCTTTTAATATAGACTGAAAACTGCCCTGGGTGGCAGCTGCTGCCCTGAATGCTTCTGTGGTGGGAACTTTTTGTTACTCCCTTGCCTGGATGGGCTCATTGTCAAGGAGAGGCTGGAGCTTCCATTTAGAACCAAACAACAATAAAAAGACAACTACAAATCAGAGACATTCTGCAGGGGAGGGGGAGGAAAAGAGACCAGGGCGAGGGCTGGAAGAACCCAAGGGACTGCTGTGATGGCACAAGGATAGATTGGTGGTGAAATTCTATGGGGACTACACCTGAGAAAAGAAAGCAAACATTGTAAAAAAAAAAACAAAAATAATAACAATAATATAACCCCATTTTCCTAGAAGTACAACTTGAAGCCTCGACTGGCAGAACCTTTTTGCGGCTCTACCCACAGGTCTCATTTCAGCCTCATTTCATGTACCATCGACCCCTGCCTGCAAGGAGACAGTAATGGAGACAGAGTGTACTTCTGTCTCTGCAAACTTTTTTTCACACCACTTGGCTCAAATTCAGACAAACACTCTCACTTATCATTTGTGACAGATCATTGGTATTTCCCAACCATTCATGCTTCAGATTAATTCTTCAACTTAAAGTAAAGGGCATGAATTGTCTCCAGTGTTCAACTCCCCCAACCTTATAATAGCATGAAATCTGGAGGTGCAATGAAGTTCTATGGGGAACCGTGCATTCATTTGCTGACAAGTACCATGTCACGGTCTTCAGGCTTCTCTTAAGATGCAGAAGGTTCTGGAAATTGTAGGTCTTTTTTCTCTAGACAGCATAGCTTTCTATCACTTTCCTAAGGGCTGTGTATCTGGGAAGGTATTTCTTGCATAGCCACCAGTACTTTACAACAGTGGTCCTTAATTCCTTTTGCATCAGAAACCAGATTAAAAATTCTGTGGATGGTGCAGACTTTTCCCCAGAACAAGGTTTCTGCACATACACCCCTTTATCAAGCACTTTGGGGATTCATAGCTCTCCCAAGAGCAGCTCAAAAAACCCAGGTTCACTGGATATTCATTTTGTAAAATGATAATGATTTCATCTCTAATATCTAAAAGGCAATATTTAAATTAAAAAGAAATCCACCATCAGTCAATATTGAAGAATGTGCCCGAGGTAAAACATGCTATAAACTCTTAGGAATCATTAGCATAGCATTTTCCATTTTTTCCCTCCTACTAATGTGATTGCTAATCTGGAACATACTCTTTCCTTTCCCCCAGCTTTGGACTTGATAATTTACCCTAGACCAAGGAATTGATCCAAAAAATGAATGCAATGAATGATTTCAGGGTTCCCTTAATTTTTACAGATATTATGTCCTTCACTTTCTGCCACATAGAAAAAGGAGGTATGTGTACTGTACATATTGGAGACAGAAAAACAATTAAACTTATTGGAAATATTATTCCAGATTATAAGCCTCCAATAATAAATAGACAAATAATGAGTATACAAATACAGCCTGTTTCTGTTACCACAAGTAATAGACTATCCCATTTTGTTTCTTTTTTAAATATGTCTTGTACATACCATTTTCCTTCTAAATGATGGCGCCTTTGTTTATTTTACATTTATTGTATAATTGTGTACTTTTGTTTACTCATAAATAAATGAGATATGCTTCATAATAGCTGGTCTTTGATTTCTCAAAAAATGAAAGACTTTGCCTGAGAAATATATGAACACATGTACTGTTTTCACCTAAACATCTTTGAAATTGATCCTGTGTCATTTCTCTGGACCACTGAATGAGAGAACAATGAACAATTTGTAATGCAGATTATTTCTAAACCAGACTTCCTGCTAGATTTTTAAATTATCTGATAATTTCTCCAGTGATTTTTATTGTTAGAAAAGTTCTCATTTTTTCATGTGATATGCTTCCAGAAAGAGACAACCACACTTAGACTTTTGCTTCCTTCCTTAGAGTCATAAAATCATTAGCTAATTAACCTTGCTGGTCTCTTACAGATCCCCATTTCTGCACTCGTCTCATTTGTGGAAGCCTTGGAAGTGGGATACAGCAAACATAAAAATCCTTACCACAATTTAATGCATGCTGCTGATGTGACACAGACTGTGCATTACCTTCTCTATAAGACAGGAGTGGCGGTACGTAAAGATAGGAACTCTCAGATTGTACAAAAGGTGTGATGATGATTTTTATATTCGAGGCTGTTCCTATTCTGATAAGGTTGAATTCACAAGTGCATCATTTTGTGGGCTTCCTGACCCTCAAAAATTGTCTAACTGATCACAGATAGTCTTGGGGTCTTCTTTTGCCTCTGGAATTCTCTCTATCCTTACTAGGTTATGATCAGATTAAATATAGTTTCTAGAACTTAAGAATACCATAACCTCTGGCTGTGGTCACCAGCGATGACATACATGCATGTGAAATCACGTTGAGTGTACATGGCAGCTGTGTGGCACAGAGCTCACTTCTGGTTTAGACCACTACGTCTTTTTCAAAAGGACAAAGGTTATTCTCATACATTTGAATTTTTTGAACCTAAGGGTCAGTCTTTACATCTAATTATTTGAAATTTTTCTTGCTTGCTTTCAACCTTTAGATTTTTTTTTCAACTAAGGGAGTAAATTTATGTTTCATATTTCTATTTGTGGTCTTTTTTCTTGAGTTAATATTGGTTCACAACACTTTATATGATTAGAAATATATGTTCACACCTCTTCAGATGTATGTTATCACACCATATCTACCACCAAAGCCCCCCATAATCCTCACCGTGGTCCATTGTGTCCCCCTCCTGACTTTCTCTAACCGCTATCCCTCTACCTCTGGTAGCCTCAATTCTACACTCAGATTTTTAGGGCTTGTTTTATTTAGTTTTGTTTCTTCATATTTCACACATGAGTGGTATCATTTGATATTGATCTTTCTCCTTCTGGCTTATTAATCTTAGTATAATTTCCACCTACTGCCACCCAGAAACAGCAAAATGAGATCTTTTGTTTCATAGCTGTGTAGTTTCTATTCTGTAATCCATTGTATTTACTGATCTGTTCAGCTTGGACATCCATGCCTTTGCCCTGTGGCTGATGTAAGACATTAATTTTAAAAGTTAAAAGTGTTAGTGACAAACAGCTAAGTCTCTATGTTAGCTTTCTATGACTTTATTTTGAAATCTTCATAATTGACATCAAGATAGACATTCTTTGGGTATGGTTCTTAATTAGCCCATAAACCCAGTACACATTTGTTATATTTTTTGCTAGGGCATGTTCAAGAAGTTGGTCTAATATCTTGCTGAATTAAAAATGGAATACAGTGGGAGGAGTGTGGGCTTTGGAGCTAGATATAGTTGGCTATAAATCCTAGCTTAATTACTTATTAGATTTTGTGACCTATGATAAATTGCTTGAATCTCTGAGTCAGGATTTCCTAATTTCTAAAATAGAGAAAAACATTCTATCTTGTAAAACTTCTGTGATGGTTAGGGGTAAAGCATCAAAAATCTGAAGTGCTCTGTCTCAGAAAGGAAGTTCAGTAGTTGGGAATTGCTATTAAAACTGGAGGCTTTTCCCAAAATATATCATTGGTTTTTAGTTCTTCTCTATGATTATGCTGATTTCTTGAATATATTATTAAAAACCTTTTTGTTTAATTATAGCAACACTAAAAAAAGTAATTTGTTTACTGCAATAAAGGTTCCGTGCAAGCATGGAACCAAACAACACCCACATTAATATTGCTATTGAGCATTTTTCTGGAGGTCTTAGACAATATTATCCCCCAAAACCAAGAAGTACACCATGACAGTAGTTTGATCATTTTTAAAAAATCAAAAAAACAACTACAAATTAGACAAGCACATTAAAAAAAAAGTAAGTTCAGATTAAAATAGCTGTCCTATACACTAGATATTAACAAGTACAATAGAAAAAACATTCCCAACAGTTTAAACAGTGATAAATTTTCTACTAAGAACTTCAAAAATGGCATAGAAAAGGAAATGAAAAGACAAAAAACCAATGCTTCAATAAGTGGAGAAACACATATTTTTAATGAAATCCTCATTATTATATAGATGTTTATTTTCCTTAAGGTAATCTCTAAATTCAAGGCAATATCAATAAAAAATTTCAACATGAAACAAGATCATTTGAGTCTGAAATTTATGTAAAAATGGATGTCTTGCAACCTTATCACAGACAGTTTTGAAAAAGATAATGTATATGGTGGGTAGTTCTTACTCTATTAAATATTAAAGTATCTGCTGAATCTGTAGTAAGGAAAAAATGTATTTGTGCAAAATAGACACTTATAGCAATGGATTTCAGTAGAGCTTCAAAAACTAAACTTGCATATTTATTGAGCACTTACTGGGTATGGTTCCTTTTTTACATGATAGTGGTCTTACAGAACTTGCATTCTAGTGGGAACTTAAAGTAGAAGACCAATGAAAGCATAAATAAGAGAATGACAGTGGTGTTCTGTAGAGAATTAAAATTGTGTACTTGTATAGGGAAAATTGGGGGTTTAATTAGATAATTGGGAACAACCTTTCTCCAAAGATAACATTTAATCTGGGGGGGGAGGTTGTGATTGTAGGGTTGAACCATACTAAGAACTGAAGAGGAGTGTGCCAGCACAGTGCGTGCAGGGTTGTCCACCTTCATGAGAGCTCTGCAGTATTCAAGGAGCACAGAGCAAGCCTGGTGGACAGCACACATGGAGTTAGTGATGCAAATGAGGTCAGAAAAGAAGGCAGGACACAGACCAGATTTGGCATCGCAAGCATTTGAGTAATTAGACTTGCTTTAACAATGCTTTAGGCAAAAAAAAAAAAAAAGAAAAAAAAAGAAAGAAAGAAAAGAAACCTTATTATCCTCCTGTATAACTTCAAAATATTATGGTAAAGATCAAAATGAAGGTGAAAATGTGCTTTGAACTCATCTATTCAACATTTGTTTAGTTAGTACCTGCTGTGTACAGTATGCCTTGGGATATAAGGGTGAATCATATATAGCTTCTTCAGTCCTCAAGAAAAACTCCCAAGCATATATGCTAATGCAGGTTATCATTAACATAAATGTTAGATCATAGCAGCCAATGATCATGATGTACTGCATACTGTTCTTAAATGAGCTCATTTGCCATTTACCATTGAATTTTTATTATCAATTCTGGCTATATTCAGAATAATTCTTAAATTTAGAAACTACTTCCCACCCACTCTCTCTTGGAAATGCAGCTTAAAACAAACATCTTTCATTGCAAGCTTACAAAAACAGTGGGGAGCATGCTGATGAATGGAGAACATATTGTTACTCTAACCTTTCATTACAAACCAAGAGGGGGAAATGCTTTAAATCATTTCAGTGTTATAAACTGTAAGATGCACAGGGATTCAAAACATCCCATTGATAAAGTGATGTCTTGGCTTCAACATCGACAGTATTACTCATTGTAATCTGCTTATATTACTCATTATTGCTTAACTTGGGTGCATAGAAGACACTTGAATGCTTTCAGAATTAGTTTGCTCGTTCTAAGAGAAAATCCTTAAACAAAATTAGATTGAAGAGTTGTTGATCATTGAATAGAGATGATTCAGACTCCAAACTCCAGTTTGATTTTGATTTGGGTCAAAAGATTCCAAACTCAAAAGCTGCCTCTTGGCCCCTTTCATTGCTTTTGCCAGGCAAGGTGCCATCAATTTTCCTTTTGACTTTTTTTTTTAAAGGGAGAAACTGTGTATCTTGTATTTTAGCTCACTTATCACACATAATTATAAGAGAATCACTATGGACATCAAAACAACATTCTGGTTAAAGTGTGCTAAGTAATTTTATTAGACTTTGTAGTTTACATAATTTTGGTCACCATGACCTTTGCCCTCTAGTATCATAACTGTTGATATGTTACATTTGATGGTAAAAGTGACTTTGAGACACAACAAAGTTACTAATCAGAGGATCTTACAGTGGGGCAGTGATGGTGGACTCCCCAGGTGGGACCAATGGAATCTCATGAGTTTTAAAAGTCAAGAGGTGTGGTAGAAAAAAGTGGGAAATAATCAATGAAGCTTTGTAGCTTGAACATGAAGGAAGTCAGGTGAAAAGCATGAGAAAGAAATGAATTCTGCTAATGCCCTAAATGTGCCTGAAGTGAATTTTTCCAAGGAACTTCTAGAGAGGAATGAAGCCCTGAGAACACCTTGATGTCCTGACCAGAAAATCCAACCACGCTATGCTGGATTTCAGAACTGTATGCCAATAAATAGGAGTGGTTTCTTAAAGCTTAAGTTTGCAGTTGTTTGTTAAGGTCACAATAGAAATCTATCAATAATACAGGGGTGAATGCAAATTACTAAAGAAACTGTCAGTCATATATCAAAGTCACAACTGTTAATATTGTCTCTGATATTTTGCTCCTGTCTTTTCCCTTCAGGTTTCCATTGCTCCCCACTTACCCCGAGGTGTGTCAATGTGTGTGCACTCACGTGCATGCACACACACACACGCACCTCTTGATCTTCTGAGTCACCTGTAGCAAAATTCACGGTCCACTAAAGCATCCTTGTCATTTAATTGGTTGTGACACTCATAATTTGTAGATGGTGATACTGATAGGCTCTGTGACATGTGTCTTGTCTTCATTTGATAAACTGGAATAAAATTCGTGCAGAATTAAAACTTCTGACTTCTTAGACTTCCATAAAAGCTGGGTTCACAATAATTAATTTGGAAAAGGTTACAAAATCTGAGCCATATGAAAACATGAAACTAAATTTCCTTCAAAATAACTTCTCCAACCTTCTACATTCCTGTGAATGATGCCATCTGCTACCACCTGTCGCTTTTTCAGCCACTCAGGCAAGGCAGATTGAGGTCATCTTTAATTCCTTGTTCTTCTTGACCACCACCTCTTCTTGCCCCCACATTCACTTCATTGCTAGGCTGCATGGATTTTGCCTCCACACTCTCTACACATAAAAACTTTCTAGTCCAAAAATACTTCTCTCCTTTCTTCCTTTCGGTGGCAGGCTGACCACATTTTTACCACATCTCTTATATGTAAACGTCACTGCCTATTGAATCCAGTTTGTGTTCCTCATCCTGGCCTTTAATACCTGACATCAGAGGTCCCTAGTCAGACTTAACTCTCACTCCAGTAAACACAAGAATTTCATTACTCGTGACTAGTAAGCTTTTGCCACTGGGATTTGCTCATTTGAGCATTTTTCTAAAAATAACCACTTCCATTTCTTGCTCGTTCCAGTCTTCAATGCCCATTTTAAATCTCTCTCATCTGTGAAGCTGTTTCTCATCTTATCTCATTCTTTCTTTTCTTTTTTTATTTTGCTTTTCCCCCCCAGATATTCTCTCTCCTTTCTTCTTATACTCAAACAGCAAAACTGACTTTTAAGCAACCAAAGGTTTTGTTGAAAAGCCAGAATATTAAAACGAATGTTAAAAGCTAAGGTTTTATTTCTCTTGTTGCATGCTCATTTACTAATGTGTTGTTTTGGTATTTAGAAGAAGGTTACAACTAAGAAATATCTTGTTAGAATATTTGAGTAAGGAAGTTACACTAATACTTGTAATGTGAGAACTGCAATTATGTGATTATTTGAACACCTTCTGAATCACCTGCACCAGTGCTCTGTGATTCAGGTTTATTTACATGGTGCAATGTCTCCCATTCATAACCTTCCTTTAAAATGTTAAATTATCATTGCGTGAGTTTGGACAGAGAAGTATATGGGGGACTTGGGTAGAGGGAGTCAGGGAAGCTGGTTGGGGACAGGGTGTTGAAGATGAAAAGAAAGACGTTGCCAACATAAAATATATACAGGTATGGAAAATATTAAGAACATGTGGAATATGAAATTAAACCTGTATGACAGCACACAAAATTGAACTCAAAGATGACTTCAAGATGATGAGTGAGAATTCTGGAGTAATAGTGTGTGGCTTGTCACACGATTAGCTGTGTGACTTTAGTAAGTTAAACACCTCTGAGCTTCAGTTTCATCATCTCTACAGTGGGGATAATAACAGTACCTACCATTAAGGGATTGTCTACTGTATGAGTATTTTAGATATCAAGCACCTAGAATAGACCCTACAGGTGTTAACCCTGATGAGGAGGCTCTTTGCTGTTTTTAAGATATGTTTTAAAATCCAGTTTGTTGTTTTGGGGTTTTTTTTTTTTTTGCAATCTTTGCTTATCTTACTCATTTCTTTCTCATTTTATTCTGTTTGTTCTAATTGGAATTATAAAAATGTACCTGTTCATTTAAAAATAATTTTTATTAACTTAGATCCAGTAAATATATTTTATTCACTCTACTTTCATTCAGACTTCAGGCTCTTTGCTGAGTTATGCTAATTTACATACTCATATTTACCTTGCATTTACCCTGCCCCTATGTAAGATTCCTTGTTTTACTTCTTTAAAGTGAAATTGTAACTTAAGCATACTTATGAAGAAAACTGATTGCAGTATCTCTAGATTTATGTTTATTTTCTTCTGCTCTTCCACTGTTGTCACAGCTCTGTCAACAGCACTGAACTGTGTTTGTCCAAAGCACTGAACTTGAATTCTACAGACATACCAACTCCAAATTTGTTTTAATAATTTATTGTTTAATATGATATTCAATGGTATAATTAATTGTTTAATGACATGTTAAATAGGAGCTGGAATACACCACATTGAAACTTGCAAATATCAATTCCAATAGTAATGAAAGTGAGCAAAGGGCCTCCCTGGTGGCATAAGGGCTTAAGTCTCAGCCCTATGAAACTATGCGCAGCCACTGCAGCACGAGTCGATCCCTGACCAGGGAGCTAACCCACATGACGCAGCAGACCTCTTCTGTCTTGCCCGCTGCTCCCCTCAGCAGGGTATTTCAGTCATTCTGCCTGTTCTGTTCCCCACTCTGTCTCTGGTGAATCCTCTCACTGCCCCCCCCCTCCACATCTCTGGCCTACAACCCAGCTTTTGTATGCATAAATAAATAAAATAAATCTTAAAAAAAAAGTGATCAGAGAGTATCAATGGTTGGACCAACAGTCATGTGGGCATCAGGAAGTATGGTTTGCAGAGGGAGGAGAAGCAGGGATGAATTCAAAGAGCCCCTGAAAAGGAATTTAATTAAGAGAGCTTCAAATATAGCGGCAGTTATCAAGCCCTAGCTTGCATCAGAATTATCTGATGATTTGGTTAAACACAGAGGTGGTCTGAGGCCCAGAGTTTCCAGTCCAGTGGGATACAAGTGTGATTTGCATTTCTGCCACGCTTCAGATGGTACTGCCTTTGCTGGCCAGGGAACACTCTTTGAGTACCGTTGAACTACAGCCAATCTTAGTGGTGTGTATGGGGCTCCTCAAACATCAGTATTTGTTAGGCAAAGGCCACGTTTCTCTCTCCATGTGTCTCTGTCTAACCCCTTTCCATGGATAGACATTAGATTTCCCGTTACTCTTAGTTCTTGGTATTGTGTTGAAATTTTAACTTACTTTCTGTGTCTACCTAGGGGTTTTATTTGGAATTTGGGAGAGTATGCAACGAGCATTAAAAAAATACCGTGTTCATTATATTTTGCTTCCTTGAAAAAGTTAGCAGTCCAACCTTGCTCGGCCTGCTGTTTTCAAACCACATGTCCCCTCCCCACCACCCCTTCTCCTCACAGAAACACACACACACACAAACATTTCTGTCTGTCAGAAAATGTGTGTTTGGCAATAGCTTGCCAGCTGCAGGGTGCAGAGGCAGCAATGTGGGTGTGTTGTCAGCAAGCTGAAGACTTTGTCTGAGAAAGAGACAGATTATCTGATTGCTCTGTAATCTCCCTTTCAGAACTGGCTGACGGAGCTGGAGATCTTTGCTATAATCTTCTCAGCTGCCATCCATGACTATGAACACACCGGAACCACCAACAATTTCCACATTCAGACCCGGTGAGAATGTTGAAGTGTTTGGATAAGAGGCAAAGGGGGCAGGAACAGAGTTTTAGAACTCAGGAAGGTGCTTGTCACCTTCTTATTTGCACATGGTTGCTCTATTGTACATTCTAGAAAAATAAAACTTCAAACAAGAGATCAGTGGGTCAGCTTTGATCAAGTACTAGAGTTTAAGAGGCTATCTGCCTAATTTTCACATTTTATTCACATCTAGCCTAGATATCCTCTTTTTCTGCATTCTAATGCAGAAATTTGTTGATTTACATATGAACAATGCCTACTCTATCTGTTTCTGAAAGGATGTGAAACAGTTTCCATAAAGGCTGAGATGCCATGTAAGCTAAATCAGGACAAACAAGCATGGAGCTTCCATTGACATGGAAAATAATTGAAGCTTCTTACCCTCTGATCTCTGGGGTCCTGGTGATAATCTCCTCATCCTCCCTGATTTCATCTCTTCTGTTCAGTGCTTGCAGTGCCCCCTGACACAGGATTTGGGGAGCCAGGTAGTCCCACATAGGCAACTTCCCCAAAGGCAACCTGCATGCCCTCTCAGTGGGCACAAATCTCAGGGGGGCACTCACTAATTAATTCTGGTGTTTTTCTCTTACCAAATTGCAAATTTATTCTCATTATTCCTCCAGCACAGAATTCTAGGCAAGAATACCAGCCAGCTGTCCTTTCCATTTAGTATTAAACCCGCTGTGCCCCTTCCTTATCCTCTAAAAACTTACCTTCTCTCAACACAATGATATGGAACTGAAGACCCTGACTGGCTTTCATTGGGCCCTGGCATAGAAATCAAAAGAAGCTAGAATTTGGAGAGAGGCAACAAGACAAAGAATATAGCAGGGAGGGGTGAGAGTTTAATACCAAATAAATACCAATTTCTCTTGAAAAACAGGTGCACTCTCCAGATAGATTTGTGTTCTTTAAATCAATCTGTATGTATATAATGAACCCAACACTTAATTATGGGGTACACAAAAGAAGACAATATTATCTGATCTCTGTGCAGAAGAGAATTTCAATAGAATGGAGGACAAAAGGACTTAAGCCCCTTGCTTCATTTTCTACCTCCTGCCTCCTCACAGTCTCAGCTGCTGCCAAACAGTCTTTTGTAGTCGTGTTGTAAGATTTTTAAATCCAGAGAGTTCCACGGAGCAGCCGTGTTTATTGGCTGTCTGCAGGTAGAGCCCTTGCTCTGAGGACAGAGGCTGTGGTGACTAGCCCTGCAGGAAGATAGGTGGCTGAAGGAGCAGTTATATGTGGATCTTGACTGGAGACAGTAGCAGAACTAGTCACAACTCAGAGGGAAATGGCTTAATTTCAGGAATTAGAAAATAACTGGATGTCACAAAATACACATCAGTGGGTACCTTACTTACTTGACAGGTAGAAGATCAGCTCTTTCAGCCAGGATGTGCATGTTTGGTGTCAAGTCCATTGGAGTAAGAAAAATTCCAGTGAGTTTAGTTAAACTGGGTTGGGAAGGTATTTTAAACATTGGCCTTCTTCAACAGAGCTTTATCCAAAGCATGTCAGCCCTTGTTATCCCTGTTCAGAAAGCTAAGTCTGTAACCTCTTCTCTTTGAGGGACACAATGTTACACCTAACACTTGAAAGATATGCTGCATATATCCCAAAGTTTCGCTAATGACAGGTGGAAATTATTTTGGGGAGACGGATCCAACTCTCAGAAGACCTCACCTTTATCCCAACCCTGACCTTTCTCCGCTGTAGGACTCTGAGAAGTCATTCACACCTCTGGAACCCAGCTTTCTTGATGAGAAACAAATAAGCTCTAGTAATTTAATATTTCTTTAAATTAAAGATGTTGAAATATCACACAGCTTTGTGTATAGTGCCATTCAGCTGTGGAGTAGCTTTGGAGAGAGTGACTAACAATTGTGTGGTTCTTACATTCTTTACTTTTAACTGTCCACTTGTGACTTCTGCTGGGCAAAATTTTAATATCAAACAACTACCAAAGGAACTTAGAACTGTAGCCACAGGGTGTTCTGTGTTCAGAGAGTTGCAACTAAAACAAATAAATTCTCTTGCTGAATAGAATAAAAATAAAAAAAAAAATAAAATCATTCCAGAAAATATAAGAAAATTGACTTGACCTGCATTTTTAAAACTCACTGTTGCCACTAGGACAGATGATTCAGATCTGGTTATGGAACAGTTTTTGAAGAGTTGGACATCACATCCACATATTAACAAAACATTCTACATATCTATTGGTAATTTGTAGTGTTAGAACTTTTTGCTTGATATAATTTGCATGGGGGCAAAAAATAATTGCTAAATATAGGAAAAACAGATGGTGCATTGGACAACCTCGAGCATTGTACATCCTAAATTTCTTTGCTTGGCTGTCTCTTCAGGTCTGATCCAGCTATTCTGTACAACGATAGGTCTGTATTAGAAAATCACCACTTAAGTGCAGCTTATCGCCTTCTGCAAGAAGATGAGGAAATGAATATTTTGATCAACCTCTCAAAGGATGACTGGAGGTAAGGATGAGACAGGAGAGATATTTGGAGGCCAGGAAAGAACTGTGAGATGAAGTGTGCTGCTTTGGAAGAAATAATACCCTGTTTGAAATTTATATTATTCTCTCTTTTTCTCTCCCCCAGTTCCCAAACACTCTGTGTCTCTTTTTTTGGACACAAGTATTCAAAAATTTTGCTAAGAAAAGTATTTTGACATGTAAAAGTAACATTAGATACCTAGTTCTGTTGCCTGTATGACACTGTGTGTCTAAATATAGAAACACCTGACTTTGAATATGACAAAGTTACTATTGATATGATGTTTAGGAAGTTAATCAACTCTTTACACTTCTTAAATATTTGATTTCTAGAAGAGAATTATTATTTGCCCTGTGACTTGGTGAGGGCTAGCTTAAGTAATATAATCTATTTAGGATGCTTAACACACTTTGTGGCACACACAGCAAGCCTGCAAATCATTCTTGCTATAAATATAGATGAAGGTGTTTCAAAGCTTTTAGGCAAAATCATGTAAGTCTTTACAAAGTTCTGAATCTACTTTGATGGAAATAGTATTTGTATTTAAATTAAATGATCTGCAGTTTATAGAGGATCTGTATGACAGCTATTCTGCAAGGAATGCAGAGAAAGCAGCCATACTGAGCCATAAACGTAAAACTGATTTCCAGTAAGAGTTTGCCACTAGTTTCTATGCAGCTCCAGTTTATTAAAAGATAGGAGAGTATTTGGCTTGAATATTATTGGAAAAATGCTAGATTCAGCCAGAATCTAAAAAATACAGAGCATTTCAGTTAATCAATGCATGTCTTCTGGATAAAAAAGGAGTCCTCTATCCAATTAAAATGGTTGTAAAAATGTAATGAAATATTTGAATATGGCAAGAAAGGCTTCATGAATATTCAGACGTATCAGGGTTTGGAAGGATTTGTGTGAGGTCTTATTTAGATGTATATTCCTGGTCTCAAGAAAATCTAATCAAGTGCTTCAAAAACGTGCTTCGTTGCCTCTTACCATTTTTTCAAACCATAGATATGTCACTTCAATTATCAATATTTTTGGTAAGGCTTTTCTATTTCTATTTAATTCTAGTTCTGTTAAAGAAAAAGTAGTTAGGTATTTTTTATTCTCACTTTTGTATGATCATAGCTTCTTTGATCTTTGCAGTCTACTTGAGGGTTAGCGAGGCTAGTATCGGAATATCTAAATGCAAGGTACCAGAGCAGACCAGAACACATCAGTTCACAGCTCACACAAAAAAACAAGGCTCACACTAGGACACAATCCTAGTCGTTTTTCTCTGTATTCCTGTTGGCAGTACCAATGTACACGATGTACCAATGTTAGCTTATCAATTGCAACAAATGCTGCAAGATGTTAAATAATGCTGGTCCTATAATACTGGTCCTAATCAGGGAACCTGTGCTGGGAAGAGGGAATGTATGGGAGCTCTCTGTACTATTTGGAATTTTTCCTGTGAGTTAATTTCCCAAATGATGTGTGCATTCCACATACTATATTTGTAATAAATGATTTCTTTAACCCTTAACTTTTATTCCTCATAAAAATGCCTACCTAAAAGGATCCCATTAGATTAGAAATGTCACAAGTAATTAACTGATTTTGATTAGAAATGGAAAAAAATATTTACTTTCCATTTTTTAAATTCCTCTTCTTCCCCTGCCCCACGCCAACCCCATGTCTTTAAAAGGGAATTTCGGACTTTGGTAATTGAGATGGTGATGGCCACGGATATGTCCTGTCATTTCCAACAAATCAAAGCAATGAAGACTGCCCTGCAGCAGCCAGAAGCGTGAGTGCTCTTGTGACATCCTCTGTTGTTTAGCTGTTGGGAATGGCTGTCCACATGATTGCATCTTAAAGACATACCTCCTTCAATGGAACTTTGACTGGTCTCATAAAGTGGGGGGTAATTAGAGGGGTGATAGGCAAATTGAACATCTCATATCCTGTTCTTCTCAGGATGGCAATAAATAGTAAAGCCAGTAACAATCTATCCTAATTAGACTTTAAAATGCTTCCCTTTGGAAAAAGGAATTTATCAAAGATCCACTTGATGCAGAAGCAACAAATAAAAATCAGTGAGTGACGCTTGGATTCTTGTCTTTTGGAATCATGCAGTCATTCCAGAAATAGTTTTGATTCTGAGGTGCCTCTCAATAAACATGGAGATGAAGCTGATGAATACCCCATTTGTAGGATGGAATGATGCTTTGTGCCAACTCAGGGTTTAAGATGGGAGAATAGAAGGGATTAAATTTAATGAATTTTTCCAACTCTATGGAGGTTTTGATCACTTTGTCATTGTGTTTGGTCCTTTGGGTTTTAGGATTGAAAAACCAAAAGCCTTATCTCTGATGCTGCACACGGCAGATATTAGCCATCCAGCAAAAGCATGGGATCTCCATCATCGCTGGACAATGTCTCTCCTGGAGGAGTTCTTCAGACAGGTACCTTGTGGGTGTGCTACCCCCCAGGGCTATCATCTGTAGTTATTTTATGGACTTTATATTTTAACAATGCTAAAATAAGGACTATAGAGATTACAGGAATTTTCTTTGGGGAAGGAAGATTTGCGGGTTATTGGTTTTGGTTTTACCTCCTGATGATGTGATGTTTGAATCTTCCTTAAATTCTGCTTCTCAGAAAAGTATGGTGTCTCTAGCCTAAGAATTTCTGTTTAGAAAGCAAAATTCTAAGCAGCAATCTTTTGTCAAAATGTCATCTGAACAGTAGTGGTGAAAGTGAATACCCTGGTCTTCTTCCTAATATTAGGGGAAATGCTTTCAGTTTTCCACTACTGAATATGATGCTGGCTTTGGATTTGCCATATATGGCCTTTATTATGTTGAGACAATGTTCATTTTATTCCTGTGTGAGAGTTTCTATGATAAATGGGTGTTAAATCTATCAAATTCTTTTTCCATAGCTATTAAAATGGCTATGTGACTTTAATCTTCTTGTTGGAAATGATATGATTGATTTGCATATGTTGAACCCACTTTGTATCCCTGGGATATGTCCCATTTGGTCATGGGGGATGATTCTCTTAATATATTGCTGCATTCGATTTGCATCCCTGCCCATACCTCCCTTATCCCTCCACCCCCACTTTCTATCCCCTCCGGTAACCAGTATATTTTGCAAAGTGCCTAAGAATTATACGTATTGTTTTGCTAGTTTGTTTTCTTTGGTTATTTATATTCCACATATGAATGAAACCATCTGGTAATTGTCTTTCACTTTCTGATTTATTTCACTTTGTATAATCACCTCAAGATCCATTCATGCTGTCCTAAAAGGCACTATTTCATCTTTTTAAATCATTGAGTAGTATTCCATTGGATATACATATCCCATAATTTGTTTATCCAGTCATCTGTAATGAAAGGAAAGAAAAAGTCACCTCAGTAGTGCTTTTACTTTTTTATTCTAATGGGTGAAGCAACTGATGGTCCCCTGGATGTTGCCAAAGGGATTAAAATGTTAATCTTTAACTCCTGTCTATTATAACTGAGTGGGTTGCTTCTAGCACACACGTACATGATGTCAAATTCCTAAGCCAGACATGGTAATTTGGGGGTCAAGAAATTACTGAAGCTACTCTTCCAGTTATAATTGACAGCTCCTAAGACCCAGGATTGTGTTTTCTATATGAATAGCCAGAGTCTTTATGAGTACACATTGTAAACATAGAAAGAAAAATGAGTATATAGCACCAAGACTCTTCTTAAATTCAGGCATGTGTGCTAACCTCATCTCAGAAAGAGCTGCCATTAAGACATCTGCTTCCAGACTTGGGGGTCCTGAGGTTAAAAGAATGATCATGTTAATTATAGTTGATTCAAGTTAGTTCAGTTAATTATTGTTAATTTAAGAAGGGAAGTTCATATAATGGATTCAGAGATACCTGAGATTCCATAAAACATGATTTTAACCAGCTCAACTTTGTCATCTAAATTAACAAAAGGTAGACTCTTTCAAAGATGACTCAGATTTTTGGAAGCAAGTTACTCTTGTATGATGACTCTCATTCCTGTGATTCTAGTTTGAGTGGAGAAATTGTGGAAGGTATTTGAGTCTTTCTTCTTCTGAAGCTGTCTACATTATCTGGTAATGAAGTTGGACTAGAGTTAAAAGCATATTAAACAAAGGCCAGAACACCCTTTATTGGAATTTTAATTCTAACTGCTTTGTGGCCTGGGACTCATCAGATAACTCCTCTAGTTCCCAGTGGTCTATCTCTGATTTGCTGTTTTTTTTTTTTTGCATAACATTAACTTATTATCAGATATTTTATTTTATTTTTTTAACATTTTACATTTTTTTCTTTTTTTAATATTAATTTTTTGGGGGGCGGGAAATAGGAATGGGAGGGATTCAGAAGGTTGGACCAGATGTGTTTTTTTTTTTAACTCAAGGTATCACATTTTTTATTGCGGCATAATTGGCACATAACATATTAGCTCTAGGTGTACCGTATACTGGTTTGATATTTATATATACTGCAAATTGATCACAATAATTCTAGTTAACATCTGTCACTGGGTGTATCCTTCCAAGCATTGCATGTTCCGTGTTTCCTTCATTCTGTCCATGGGTGTACATCAATACCACACACACACACACACACCTTTAAAAGGTATATATGAACACACCAGCAGGTTCCTCATTCAACATACATGTATATTTCATATTGTAACGTCAACTCTTGGCCTCAGTTGTAAACTACAACTCTTGGAAATTTTCAAATGGATCCCAATAGCACAGGAGGAACTAGAGCTGTACAGGTGAGTCCTGGTTCTGTATACAAGTATGACACTGCCAATTCATCCCTCATTGAGGGCTTTTTTGAGCCATTTTCCAAATACCCACTCCCTTTATCATATGCTTTCTTTGATTCTGCTTTTGAGGTATATCATACCCCATATAGTTAGGAGTGTTTAATCTGTAGCAAAAGGTAGATCTTAACTAGTGTATCTATGTTGAGTATATTTTTTCCAATAAAGGAAATCTTGTGTGCATACACATATGCTTGAATTGAATGAAAATATGCTAGAGGATATGTGAAAATGACCATATTGACTTTCTTGTCTGCTGGGAATAGAATGTTAGCTCACTGGACTAAAACTATTTTCTAGTAATTATGGTTCAGTAAATTATTTTTATTGACTTATTTTTTAACCCAGAGACTATAAGCCATTGTAAGTAACCTGTGTAGGAGAAATATTGCCTTAGTACTTAACTATAGATTTTAGATTGAACAATTCCAGTGGGAAATCTCAATGAGAAGTTAGGTTATATTTCAAAATGAGGGAATGGTACCAGTGCCGATGAATACAACCTTCCATACTTTGCTAAAAGAATGTTGTATCTTTGGTTTTATAGCCTTATTTTACAAAATTCAAGTGACTGTCTCAAGGTGCTTGTCAATGAAATACTGACTTTAAAGAAATATAAATTTATCTCCTTGGTAAATATATCTGGTAAAAATCTTGAGGTTCATTTTCTTTGTATTGCTGCATATTTTTAAATTTTGCAACTCTCTCTTATAACCCTTTTAATTTTTCTCTGTGTAACGGGCTATTTCACCATTTTTTAAAAATTTCATGTATGAGTGTTTCTCCCTTTCTTTACTATAAAATTAGCTAATCATTTGACTCATTTATTATTTCTTTTTTATTTTATAATGCCTTAGTTGGTGTTTTTATTTTTATTAATTCATTTCTTCTACTTGAGTTAACTCTGTCCTTGTGCTAACTCCCTAACTCGAACATTTACTTATTTTCATTCTGTCTGTCTGTTTAATAGTACAAAATGTAAGGCTAGGAGTTTATCTTTTTCTCATCATCAATCTTATACACTCTGATAATGAATTTTTTTAAATGTTCTGTGATTTTTGGTTTGATATCTCTTTTACCTAAGAGTTCCTTCAGATAGAGGTAGAAGAAACTATCTACTTTCTTTCTAGTTTCATAATTATTTCATGGCTTATTGAAATTTGATCAAAGATTTTTTTCATTGTTTGGAGTTTATTGTGAAATTTGTCACCTACTGTATAATTACCTTTTGTGAATGTGCATGGCTCTTAAAAAGCAGATTTATTTTCTACTTGGAAGATACAGAATTCAGAGAACACCAGGTACATCTGCCTTTTTGTAAGTTAGGCATTTTATATCATTTAAAAATATTTGATCTGTCAGGAACTGGTACATATTTCTATTCTTTTTCTATGCAGGGTAATTTTTGCTTCTGGAATGTTGATTCTATGTTATTTGGTTCTTTGTATTCCTGTTAGAACTTCAAATTTTATTGTGCCCTTTTTCAGAATAAAACCTGCTTCTTCTTTTTAATGCGTTTCCCTAGAATTCAAATTCTCCTCATTTTAAGATGATGACTGTTATCTTTGCTCAACTTTTTACTTTTAACCTTAGATTTACTTTAGATTGGGTGTGTCTTTTAAACACTGCATATAACTGAGTTTTTTTTTTTTAATGAGCCAATATAAGATTATTTCATTATTTAAATCAGCCATATAGTAACATCCATTGAAATGACAGGAATGTTTGATCTTAGGTATCATCATATTCTATATTATGCTCTCTGGTTTTTTATGGCTTCTTTATAAATAGTTCACTGTATTGTCTGTACCATCTGCTTTGTTATGTTAGTTATGTATTTGTTTTTCTGATGTTTTGGAAGTTTTGTATGATATCTCTAGTTATTCTAGTAGCTAACACAATAGTGAAAACTTTCTATCTTCTATTTATTTAGACAATATTTATTGCTTCCACACCATAAAAATTAGCAAACTTCTGCTTCCTCTCACTTTTATGCAACACCTGATTTTAGGTGGTTTTATCAACTTGCTTAATTTTTTTGTGGTCTGTACCTTTATTCTTTAAATATAGCTCTATTTCTTTATATCTCTATATATCTATTCATTTATATTTTATTTTATTTATTTTTTATTTTATATATTTTTACATCATTTTTCATTTTTGCACAAGGTATGCATTTTCATCTGGTTATATTCCCCATACAATTCCCACCCCCTTATTTTGACCCTAATCCCTCCTTCCCTCCCCCCACAGTGTGTTTCTGGTTAATAGTTGCTTGTTGATTTTGATTTTTACTTTATTATAATTAGTCTTTCAGGTATGATTTTTGTAAAAATAGGGAAAGGTATGGACTGATTCCACAATAGATAAGGATGCAAGTATTCATTCAATACCTTACAATACCTTTCCCCGTTTTTCTTTCATAACTCCTTGCTACTCTTTGTTGACTATATTATTTCTAAAGTGACCTGATTTTCTAAATGAACATGCTATTTCACGTGCTACATGTGCTTTACAAAAATCATACCTGAAACAGTAGGCTCGGAAAGAAAAATCTGGCAAAAGCTAGAGTCTTCCGATCTTCATGTCCTGATTCTACTCGATGCTGTCACGTTGGCAAAGCTTGGTCTGTGCAGCTACAGCTTGGCCAGAGTTGTTCCTTGAGTACTTTCTTTTTTTTTTAATTTTTTTTAATTTAAATAATAAATTTTATTTTTATATTCCCCCATACAATTGCAAACGCCCCATTCTGACCCTGTTCCTTGAGTACTTTCTTTTAGAAGCACTAATGAAGCCACATTTTTGAGTGCTTACAGGCTTTTCTGCTGCTGTTGTGTTTGGGTCATAGCTTGCTTGGGTATGAAATTTTTCAAATCAAACTTTCTTTTGTTGAGGTCTTATTTGGATTTCTCTCAAATGTCTTCTATTTGTGAGGTTGCTATGGAGAGGTCAGATGCCAGTCTGGAATCATTTCCATGTCTAGGTGATATATTTTTTGCTTATGTGCCGTAGGCATTATTTCTTTACCTTTGAATCTTTAGCTTTTCTTGGGATTGGTGTGTTCTTTTTCTCTATGGAGTCACATTACATTGATTAAATATTGACGTTATTCCTTTTCCATTGCTTAGTTCATTTATTTAGGAAAAACTGTCACTCATATATTGCCTCTCTTTGGTTTCTCTTCCATATTTCCTTTAATTCTCTAAATTTTGGATCAATGGTGTTTGTTTACGGCCTGCTGTTTTCTTCCCTGACCTGCATGTCCCTCGATGTGCCTTCATCAGGAACAATTCTTTGCATTGATGCCCATGCAGTCTTTACTTTTCCGGTCTGAGCTCCTGTTTTTACTGAGTCCTTAATAATTTCAGGAATTTCTTTCTACTCACGGCACTATATTTGGTCACTCAGTGGCACCATTTTTGGGTGAGTGTTCCCTATCTGGTTTTTCCCTCCTTCTTATTATTTTCCTTTTTTTAATGGAGGTATATTTTCATTCATTTTTTTTTCTTGGTGGTGGTGTGCTGCTGTTATTTCTCTCCATCCTCCTCCTCTTTCTTCCTTTTATTAGTTACTATCTTTGAATGAAATATATTATTTTTAAATCAACTATTTGTAAATGTGTTCCTTCCAAGGAGGAGCCAGAATAGCAATATCCTAAACAAGCTGGGATTCCCTTTGGTTTGTTGTGAGGCTTTTATTAAGTGTGTGTGTGTGTTCACGTGCATGTGAGTGTGAGCGTGTTAGCTTTTACTTCTTCCCAGTCACTGGTGACAGCAGGTGTCAGGCCTCTCACAGTTCACATACCCTCTCACCGTGCCCCTGTGTTTCCTTACTCAGCTCCTCCTTCTTCACTATACCTGGGGCTAAATAGGGCCCAGGCTTGCTCTTCACACCTGCATGTACTGTCTATTCTGAATTGTCTTCTTCAAGAGTTTTTGAGACTTGCAGCCATAATCTTCATCTCTGGGAATCTTACCTCCCCCATGATGCAACATTCGACAGTCCTATATCATGTAATTTTGCATTGAGATAACAGATTTTTTTCTAGATTTGTGTTTGTGTTTCTCATTGTTCTTGGTTTGTGAAGGTAATTTCTGAGAGGAAAGGACAAAGTTGTCTTTGTTATACTATCTTAAATCCAAAATCATGATAGATTTCTCATACCTCATATTTATAACTTCTTCCCCTGAGAAATAAGCTGGTACGTTTCTGCATTTTATTTGGCTGGGTGCTTTTGTTATCTTCCCAGTCAAATAAGTTTTCTTGATTCTACCTGAAAAGATTCCCTGGAAATGTAACCTAAAGATCTTTCAAAGCTCATGCATCGCAGGTGCCATCTGCCCTGTGAACTTCCCATACAAAAAGAACCTTTGCTTCTCTTAATTGATATGTTGCTTATTACATAGAGCTGCTGTAGCAAACATACCCAAAATGTTTGACAACACACATAGGTGTGTGTACGACAGGTGTTTCTTGACTGGCAGGTGCTTTATGATAAGCAGTGATTTTAGACCCAGAGTTTACCAGCCACACGGCTTCCATGGTACTTGTCCGTATCAGATCTACAAAAGAGACGATACTGGAGAAGTAGGCATGGAAGACTTTTTTTTTTGTATTGAGTTAACCTTGGTTTACAACACTGTATATGATTTGGAAGTATCTGATCACTGCTTTCAGGTGTTGGTAAACACACCCACCACCAACACCCCTGCAGTCCTCCACCGTATCCTTTGTTCCTCATCCCCACTTTGCTCTTTCTCCTCTCCCTTCCCTTCTGGTAACCTCAGTCCTACAAGGCATAGGAGATTTTATAGGTGAGAACTGTGACAGAAATACATCCCTTCTCCTCTTGTTTTATTATCTGGCATTAACTGGTAGAAATTCTGGGAAGTGTGCTAGCTGCAGGATAGGAAATGGAGGATGGAGTTTGGTGAACAGCTAACTGCCTCATTACTCCCCCTGCTTGCCTGTCATAAATGTCCTGACTACTTCTAACCAGATTCATCTTTTCATTTATTCAACAAATATTCTTGTGTTCTTTTGAAGACTGACTACACGAGCTTCTCATTCAGAGTTATCTTAACCCCCACCTGAGGAATAATAGTTATTTATTTTCCTGCAGTGTCCTGGAAGAAAAAAAGTATGAGTTAAAAGAAAATCCTTTGTGTCAGCTAAGACCTTTGCCCTTTTAAAAACATACTGAACTCTTTTATAAAGCAGAAAATGTGTAATTCCACCAGAGCCAGTAGTTATGAGTCATGCAGTACTGAATTATCATTCAAGTTGAATTCACCTTTAGAAGAACATCCATCCATATTATCTTCCAAACTTTTCTTTCCATTTCATAAAAGTATCTGTCCTCCAAAGGAAATTCATTGACCACTATTTTAGAATAGCCTGTTAACAGTTGAGTATACCAGCTCAATGAAATCCAATAGTTGTAAGAGATGGGCAGATAGAGGTGCGTGGGCAAGCCCATGGGATAAAAAGTTATTTAATATCATGTAGATTTTCAGAAATAAATGCTTCAAATTAATACTTGCATGTTATTAGTCATGTGATTCATGTTCACTATCTCTTCTTCCAAACCTCCAGCCCCCATTAAAATATGCTAAGAACTTGTATCCCAATTAAGCAGGGGACAAAAATGGGTTTAACTAGTTTTAACTGAGCTAGTCTTACTGAACAGCTACAAGGACAATTTATGTTATGAATGCTCTTCCTTTTCATCATCCTATCCAAGTAAAAATAATTGGGAGTAAATCATTTTTATCATGCCCCTTAGAGATGGCATAACTCTCAGCAAGGCAAACTCAGAAACAGAGAAGCCATTGTGCCTGATGGGGTGTCTGCACAGGAAAGGGTGCAGAGGAACTGAGACACTTAAGGGCTGTTGAGAGGCCCTTGGATTGCTTTAGCTCCCATCATGAGCCCTCTGTTCAGCTTCCTTAACGTCTATTCCTTTTCCGGCCTTTCATTAGATGCTAAATGTGTGTGAATTGGTGTCCTTTCTCTTTGGTAGCATGCCTTACAAAGAAAATGCATTCTGTTTTTGAATTAGGTCTGAATTTTAAACTAGGTTGTTATTACTCTTTACTTACTATTGATTTTGTTGGTGATATTTATTGTAATCAGAATGTATTAGGCATAACATATTTACTAAATGCTTCTCAAACCTTGACTTAAAAATTAGAGATACCTGTTGGGAAACAATAACAGTTCTTTATTATTTATTTACATGCATTTTGTCATTAATCTTCATCATAATCTAACGAGGTAGGGATTATTATCCTCCAGTTTATAGCACCTAAAACTGAAATGTAGGAAGGGAAAATAGCCTACAGGTAGTAGGAGAAAGAGAAGACTCAAACCCAAGTCAGAAGTCATTAACCTGTGCAGATGCTTTCCTGGTAAAGTGAATCAGCACAACTTCACACTTTAAGAAGGGGATGGAGGTCTTCCTTTTCTTCCAATGTGTGATGGGAGCGTTGAGTTTCTGGTTCTGATTTTTAAAACCCTCTCCATCATGATTTGGACTTTTATAGCACTTGCTTGCTATAGTGATGCCTTTTGAGAAAGCAATTGAAAATATATTGGCCAGAGAATCATGTTTTATTGTTCTCTGATTCACTAAGCTCAAGGAATTATTTATCCTGCTGCTTTATTTGTCCACTTTTCATTATGGACTGAGCCCTGTGGTTAAGGACCCAGAAGCATTTGCTGCAGTTGTGTAGCTTTTGGTAGCACTTGGAGAATAAATCCATGGCAGTTCAGTTAGATTTGTTTTTGGACACTGCCCATGGCTAGGAGGGGTGCACTGGCTCCAGAAAGACCAGGGGTGGACACAGGACCACTTGAGAACAGAGGAATTCTGACTGCAGTATTGGCTCCAAGCCACAGGACGGGTTGCTTTTCTTACATTCCTCAGGGGACCTATTGCTGCCTGATGAGGCTTTCTCTACAACAGCATGTGCCTTTGCAGTTGGATGGAGTGATTGGACCCCAGAGGGCTTCAGCCTCTTGGTGTCTTTTATGCAGAAGAGCAGACCCCATAAAGACTTATTACATAATGTAATTGTAATAATTAACATAAAGACCATTGACCTTCAGAGCAGTTGAAGTCACTAAGTCAAATTTGGGAGGTTCAGCCTAATGTTCTTAATTTACTATGACCTCTTATTTTTCTAGGGTGACAGAGAAGCAGAACTGGGGCTGCCTTTTTCTCCTCTGTGTGACCGAAAGTCAACCATGGTTGCTCAGTCCCAAGTAGGTAAGTGTTTGCCAGCCCTTTGGACAGACAAACCGGAGAGGTGTCCATAGAAGTAAACTCAGTCACTCTCAGTGATTTTTCTCCTGGGAACCTGGCTCCATCTTGCCCTGCTGTGTTCGGGGCTTTGACTGCCTGAGTTGATGGAGCCGCTATACCCGTACTTTTCTTCCTGCGATGGGCTGGTTCATGGACTGGCTCAGCACCTCTCTGCCATCTCCATCATTCCCTGCCAAGACAAAAGGGAGCTTCAGATCTCCAAGACGATGACAAGAATTAGTGGCAGAATGCCCATTCTGCTTCATCAATTCATTCTGCCTGCAGTAGCATAAGTCTCCATGACATTTCTCATCATTTATGCTTCTTCTGCTTCTGTTCCAGGAGATCCTCATTCTTGGATCCCTACTTCCAGGAATGGCACATTTTAAATGTTTTCGTCCTCCCTTCCTTTCCGTTCAAAAAAAAACTTTAGCACTTTTTTTCTTTTTTGGTAAGAATAACTTTTGTGCTGCTAATAGCCTTAAAATATGTATATAACAAAAAATACTCAGATGAGAGAGTACCAGTGCCAAACATAAATTAAATGTCACCAGTTATCTCCTCTGCAGAAGAGTCTGAAGTCATTCAAAAAATAAATCCAACAAGGATTTATTGTGTTTTGAGTACTTACTCATTTTTTTTTTTCATAATAATAGATTGAGTCCCTGTTAGGTGTTGGGCACTGATGAGCACTACAATAGATGTTACAAAAAAACAAAGACAAATAGTACATAGAATCTTCTCTCAGAGATGTAAGGCATGAAAACAAAATCTATTGAAGTATCATGACACTAGGAAGAGTTGGCATGAAGTACACCCAGGTACAACAGAGTACGTGAATCCCTAGACGTAGAAAAACTTGTTGAAGAGCAGTATTTGAGTTGAGTCTTAAAAGATAAGTAGGCAGTGTCTAATGGTGATGTGGATTAGAGTTGTATGGAAGGTCACAAGTATGTAATAAATAGGGAATTTTAAAACAGCTTGATATGATCAAAGAATTACAAATAATTCTATATGACTGGAGGGATTAAAATGCAATGAGGGACATGTTTAGAGAGAAACCAGGCCCACATTATATATTATAAAAGAATAGCATATGTTTTACTTTTCTTCAGCAATGAAGGCATAGCTAAAGAATTTTAAGGATGGTTAAATATACATAAATGGATATTTTAGAATAAAACATAGTAACTCTAGCCTATGGACTAAATCTGTCTAGTCCACTGCATGGTCTTATAAATAAAATTTCATTACAGTGTGGCCATGCTCATTCATTTGCAGATAGTCTGTGGCTGTTTTTGCCATACACTGCCAGTTATGCAGTTGTTATAGGGAAGATCCACAAAAAATGGAAAATATTTACCTTCTCATCTTTTACCACAAAAGTTTGCCAACTCCATTTTAGAAATATTTCTCTATCCATACCATGGGGACTGATTGGAGGGTTTTGAGAAGGACTAGAGGCAAGGAAACTAGCTGGGTGCCTCCATCAGGGACACAGCAAGCAGCGGTGCATGTTGTCATGCCGAGTCAAGGTAGAAGCAGAAATCTAGGTTAAGTGGCTGGGCTAACACGTGCAGGATGCCGAGGGAGAGGTGATCAGTTAGTGCTGGTTTAGAATGTTCAGCTTAACCTGTGAGAAAAAGAAAATGGTGAAAACGGTGCCATCACACTCTTCAATTTCAACTTAAAATTAAACCAGAATTAACTACAACACAAATTTGAATGTCAGGTTTCCCTATCAGGATACTTTTGGCATCTGATAGCAATGATTTTTATTTTGCATCCTTCACTGCTGTACATGAAATGCCAGAATCACCCCACCACAGTCATTGTGAAAACCAAATAGGCTTTTTGTACGTTTCCAAACACTGCATTTCCTTTGATTGTTATTTAGTTTCCTTCCAACTTTCACATGACTGTGTAATGAATCACTACCATTAGTTCCAGAGCATATATTTTCTCCAAATGTGTCACACAACACAGGTATTTTTGAACTGTTGAGACATTCACTTTAGCTCAACATCAGCTATCTCATGAAACTACCTGTGGTGATCTTCACAGGTACATCCTAGGTCTGACCCCTCTCCTGGTTTTCACCCTGTTTCTTCCAACTCTTCTTCCTCTCCCATCTGGATGTGTCTCTTGAATCTCAAATGCAACACATCTAAGACCGAACCTGCTGTCTTTCCTACCCCCTTGTCTCTGTGTCCTCTGCTTTGCTGTAGGAAGTCTTCAACAGATCCCACCTCCTGCTTCTTATAGTGCCGCTGGAGTCCACCTTCCTTCCTTTTCCTTTGAGCTACTTCAACAACTTCTAAAATGCTTTTCTTAGCCTTAGTCCCTCTTGCGCTCTCCCTTACCATTCATCCTGCCAGGTTCATTTTACCAAAGAATACCTGAAAGTGTCATCACAATGCTGCCCAAACATTTCCAGAGGCTTTTAGTGCCCCTCTAAGCCTGTCTCTTAACTGACAATGGGAGCCTCCCTGGCTGATGATGATGTGTCTCCCCAGGGTTTCCTTCCCTGGCAGCAAAAGAACCCTTGAACCCCAGCATCACACATCCTGCACCCTCCCCATCCCTTTCTTTTTGCTTATTCCACCTTCTGCACCTAGAGTGTAGAGTTGGTCTTAGGGCTCAGCTCATACATCACCACCTCAATAAAGCTGTTGCATGTCACCCTGCTGGCTCCTCATCCCTGACCTTCACCAGAGCCTTTATTTGTGCTTTTCCTTTGTCCCTTATACTCTTGGGGTCATTACAATCTGTAGGTTGTACATCTTAGTCTTGTACACAGTGTTTGTATCATGGTAGGTGTTGAATATATATTTTTAGGCATTTTATTGAATATCTACTAAAATGCCATAGGTAACTTATGGAGGAAAAAGGGAACTGGCTCTAGCTGTTCAAATCAAGGACTATAAGACCAACCTATTCTCTCTCAATCTCATCTGGCGCTCATGTGTAGATTAGTTTTAAAAGAAAGATGAGAACTCGTGAATTTCCATGGGAAAGTATGAAAAGGCCTAAGTTAATATGGAGTTCCTCTGAAGTACTGCTGTGTCTCTTCAGGTTTCATTGATTTCATTGTGGAACCCACCTTCACTGTGCTCACAGACATGACCGAGAAGATTGTGAGTCCCCTAATCGATGAGCCCTCTCAAACGGGTGGCACTGGACAGAGGCGTTCAAGGTCAGTGGAGAAGCTTCAGGCTGGAGGGTCAGGCTGGCTGTCCATGATGACAGGGTTCTACTTTCAGAAGAGATGGGGTGGCTATTTCATAATGACATTTGCTCTACATTTTTAAAGAAGAGAATTGCCTACCTTTTTCTTTTTTAGAGGAATTGAAGTTGTATTATATATGCTCTCCAGGCTGGCCTGGAGGGTGACACCCAAGGTCTAAAATATGACTGCCAGGTACCTGGTACACATCCCCCCTTCTCCTGACACGTGTGTGTGAGCACGGCATACACACCCACACCCACCCTCCACCCCTCAGCCCCCCACGTCCCCCCACACACACCCATTTACTCTTATGTAAGAGTAAATGGCGGCACCACTGACTACACTTTTACCTGCTGTGCTCACACAGTTCTTGGTCCTCATCCAAAAAGATAGTAGGCTTGACCAAAGTTTCACAAGAAAGACACTAATGTTCATTTTTAGGTTCAGAAAAAGAATAAAGTAGAGAGGAAAAAACCCTGAATGTTTTAACTCACCTAACATCATTATACGGAGAGAAGACTCATAGTTAAAAGATTCAGGGTCTGGGTCCCATTGTTGGGGTTAAACTTCTGACCCCATTACTTACTAGTTGAGTCATCTCTAGATGGCTAGAGTGCTGCAAACACTGGACTGAAATGTACTCTGTTCCTCTAGTCAGGCTTAGTGTCAGTCATTCTGTTTGGATTCATGTCAGTCCCAAGCTAGCCACCTGGAGATGAGCAATGATTCTTTAAAGTTTCCCAGAGGATGGCACATCCTTATATTCGTGAAGTTGCCCATGATTAAAAACATAAATTAATATTCATATAAAAAAGATCTCTTGCACCACTGGTCTCTCATCATCTCCAAATTGACTACCTCTTCACTGGCATTCCCGCAGAACATTGGAAATCCCGTTACCCAGGCCTTGGGAAGTCTAGGATCAGGGACACGCTGAATATAGAGGGACATGGGAGTGGAGAGAAAGAACACCAAGTTGCTAGGTAAAAGTTTTTCTAGATCCAATTCCAGTCAGTACATGTATGGGAAGAGAGTTTCTCCACATCCGACAATAAGCAATGCCAGGACACCAACAAGGTGTCTGGAATTCAACCCACTTCTGACACTGCCTACCGAGAGAAAGTATTCCATCTGCCCCAGCCTCCTGCTCCCACTTTAGACTCCAGTTGCAAGCCTGGGTTACTTGTGCTTCTCAAACCCATGGACTACAAATTGAAGGTCCCCCAAACCTCCTCCTTGAACTTCAGACATCAGGTCAAGTTCAGGTTGTTACCTGTACTTCTGACCAACTAGTTTTAAATCAGAGATTCCCATGACCCATCACAGAACTCAGAGGACCATCTTACATATCAAATCGCCAATTTATTGTAAAAGGGTATAATTCAGAAACAGCCATATGAAAGAGATGCATCAAGCAACATATGGGGGAAGAGTGTCAAGTTGCTGGGCTCTCCCTAGGTGCACCATTCTCCCCAAATCTCCACATGTACACCCACCCAGAGACTCTCCAAACCCTGTCCCTTTGGGTTTTTCTAGAGTTTTCACTACCAAGGCATAACTAACCCAATGGCCTTTGGCAAATGATTCAACCTCCTGCCCTCTCCTCTCTCAGGAGGTTGAGGGTGGGACTGAACACAGTTGGCTCTCTGTGGGGGCAGCCAACCCCCATCCATTGGTAGGGTCCCCAAATCTCCTTATTAAAATAATAAAAGGTAATTTTATAGCTCTGGTAACTTAGGAAATCCCCAGGGCTTTCGGGAGCTCTGTGCCAAGAATGAGGTGAAGACCAAACACATGCTTCTTGTTATAAATAACATTGGATAACTTGGAAAAGTGGTTACTGTGAAAGCGGTTGCTGAACTGTGGGACCAACTGGAAGTTGAGTTCAAATTAGTTAATGTCAGAGAGTTGAGGACAGAAAATCATGTGAGAGGATTTTAGTCTTGTTGAAAAAGAGATGCGACCAATCAACAGAACAAATATGGGGATTATCTGTAGTCGTAAGGCGAAAACTTGATTTTTTTTCCTATTGAAAATGCCAAATTTTCCACCTGTCACAATTGGAAAATAGAATAATCACAAGCCTCCTGACTTAGAGATTTCATGGCAGTGACTTGAGGAATACTAACCACCACTCTCTTGGGCTTGTCCATTGATACTCATTTTCTTAACACTGACCCTCTTCTTTGGTATGATTTTTTTTTTTTTTTTTGCTCTCCAGTCTGAACAGCATCAGTTCGGCAGATGCCAAGCGATCAGGTGTCAAGAGCGCTGGCTCAGAAGGAAGTGCCCCGGTCAACAACAACGTGATCCCCGTTGACTATAAGAGCTTTAAAACCACTTGGACGGAGGTGGTGCACATCAATCGGGAGCGATGGAGGGCCAAGGTCCCCAAAGGTAATGTGCTATTGGTGAATCTTCCAGAAGGCCAGTCCAAACTGCTCAGCTCCCACTCATAAAACCTGGCCCTGCTACACCTGATTTATGAGTGTTGCAAACAAAGCACAATCTCAGCATGTAGGTTTAAATTCCTGAACATTAAGGTATTTTGATCATTATATCTAACACCAGGGCTTGATAACAGGCCGTGGACCACCTGACTCCTGACAGCGTGACCTCTGTGCTGTGTGATTGAACGACTTTTCTTGGTATGAGGGGTCCCAGAGTCTAAATTTTTGTTATATCTTGGTTTCTTCTAGATGATCTCATCGTTTTTATTTCATGTGGCACAGTTATGTGGCCATTGTGACATCTTTTAACTAAAGTCTGGCCAGGAGCCACCTCAGTCATTATGTTGGAATAGAAAGAGCTTTATTTTCTTAAATGCGTTGTTATCTTCCTTTCATGTTCAGAGTTTCCCGTTAACCATTACTCAGGCTGGTCTTCTGAAATGAAGATAACAATGCAGGTGAACAGAAATTTGCTGATGTGGACACCATCAAAATTCAAATCAGAAGAGTCGTGACTTCGGGTCCCATAAAAGACAAGAAAACTGTAAACAAGTGAACAAAAAAGACTAAAGCCCATGTGGTTTTTGACAGCTGAAATTCATTTGTCATACATGCATGTATTTTTGTTGAAAACATACAAAATGATCGCACTCACTACATGCTCATACTGTAGTCTCAGGAGGGACACGTACCTGACATAGGGGTATGAAGCTGTGGTACTGTTAATGGGCAGATTGAGGGGCACCCCGAGATCCCTGAACTCACATGCTCTAAATGGATTCTGCCATTCACTTCATGAAGACAAAGCATATTGTTAGTGTGTAAGACTTCTAGAAAAGAGCTTTAATAGAATAAGTAGTGTGCATAGAAAGACAAGAAAAGATGTATTTTACCAATGAAACTCCCCAGACCACCATATCCCCTTATGGGTAAATGCTCAGCCAAACAGGGTTGACCGTCAGTGGGGCCACTGAGACCTGAAAGCTTGCCACAAGTCTAAGCCATCTTCTAGCAGGGAACAATGGGAAAGGGCAGAAGGGGCCAGGTAAGTCTGGGATGAAAGGAGCAAAATCAAAGTACAAATCAAGATAGAAGCTTCCATTGTCAGCCTGCCATAGTTCTCTCACCCATGTCTCTTCTAAGTGTCTTTATATGTCTCTACTCCAAGTCCACCTTCTTTTCATCTCCCCCAAAACCCTGGTGCAAGTCCAAGGCTGAGAAGCAGGTGGGGCTGCCTCCCCCAAGTCTTCAAGTCTTCTTTCAGTTTCCCTGATGCTTTGCTCCACCTTTCCTTAGGTGGGGCTGGGAACAGGGAACTTCCTCTTTGTGTGAAAATTACACTCTTATGCTACTTGCTTCCTCTTGGATGACTCTTGGAGCTCAGTGAGGGGGCTGGTCCTCACTGTGGAGATGAACCTTCAACATGTCAGTTGATAATCTGTATAGCGCCTACTGTGTGCCAGGCTCTGTGGAAGGGTATGGAGATGAAGATAGACATCCTTGTCCTCAAGTTTGCAGTGTTCTGGGAGGGGGCAATATTATTACACAGTGTCTTCCAAAAGAAGAACAGATATTTAATCCCTTGACTGAACTTGCACTTGCTGCCAGTGCTTACCGGCTCTGAACCCCAGACCCTCATAACAGGCACAGAGAGTTTTTAATCCTCAAAATAACACTTTCATTTACTGAGTATAAACACAAGTGACAAGGGTGGGAGTAGCCCCTCATGCATGGGTGTTGTGGGGAACTGCTTCTAGAGTGAGCGAGACCTCTCTGTTGAAGTTACTTTAAAGCCAACCACTGACTTGCCCACAAAATCCTGTCCTAGTGACCTCTCATTTCAGGTGATGCAAAGGATTTATACCTGTGGTGTTTTTAAGGTATAATTGGGTCCTTAACATTTCAGGACAGATATTCACCCTAAACTATGGAGGAAGCCAGTGCCTTGTCTATATTTTAGGTAGCCTCTCATAGTCTGTTCAGATGCTTTAAACATTAACACCCTCCCTTTTGGCAGGCGTTGCAAGCAGTGATGGCAGCTACCGTATCATCTCCAAAAAAAAAAAAAAAAAAAAAAAAAAAAGATAAGCACTTTCGTAATCAATTATACTCATTACTCATGAAAATCCAATTCCTGACAACACACATTTTAAAAAGTACTTCAAAATAATTTGTTTGCAATTAGCTGGCTTACTAAAATTACCTTCTGAAACTAATTACCTGGGGGAGCATTAGACAGTTTCTTTTCCAGAGGAAAACTGGCCCTTTAAAAAAAGATAAATAAATGTCAATAATATTTTTTAACTTTTTTTTAATTTATTCATTTATTTATACAAGAACCGGGGTGCAGGCCAGATGTGCGGGAGGGTGAGAGGATTCACCAGAGACAGAGCGGGGAACAGAGCAGGCAGACTGATGAAATACACTGGTGAGGGGAGCAGCGGGTGCGACAGGAGAGGTCTGCCGCACCATGTGTGACCCTCGCCGGCCTGCTGGGGTAGAACCAGTGCTGCAGAGGCTGTGGACAGCTTCACAGTGTGGCGCTCAACCGCCTGTGCCACCAGGGCAGGCCCAAATGTCAATAATTTTAAAACATAGATGCTTTAGACTTGTGGTATATTGAGAGAGATATGCTTAAGCTATTTTAGAAGGACTCCTTCTTAACCATGCTTCAGGCTTGGGGAACAAATTTTGTAGCCAAGAATGAAAGTCATCTCATAGCCTGGGGTTGAGTTCTGTTGGAGGTGTTGTATTTAGCAAGGAGGAAGGGGATGGCCTCAGGCAAAGAGCCTGGGCTCTCTATATTTTGTGTGAGATTTATTGAGTTATCAAACAAATTTCAGTTACTTTCACTTTGCTCTTCTGCAGTATTGGGTAGATGCTGTCAAAGTTGAAAAAATTTAAAGCTTGATATATATTGATATATATTGTCAAATTTCTCTTGATATATATTGTCAAATTTCTCTCTGCAACGTTTTTTGTGCTTTTGTTTGCTTTACCAATTTTCTCTCCCAGTACAAATATAGTGAAAGGGCCTATTTCCCTATCCTATCCTTCATTTTTTCCACAAGGATGTTTATATTTTTATTATTGGTTCATAATAACTGTTTCTATATTAAGGATGATAATCATAAGTTGACAAAATGTTTTGCAATTTGTGGTCCACCCCAGTTTTTCCTATGCTTTTAATTTTGCTTATAGTCTTTTTTATATATGCTAATTTTATTTACGTTTACAGAGATTACCACCACTCTTTTTTTTATTATTTCTCTCAATGTAAATATAGAATAGTATATACTACAATAAATAGTGATGCTTGTTTGCTAATGCTGAGATGTTTAGTGAATTTTTATTTATTTCCTCCTTCATCATTGGTTTTTTTATTGAAATTGAAATTTCCAGCCTTGGTAATTATAAGTAAATTATTATTTTATAATACACTTATCTTTTTTATGTTATTTTAAATATTTACATCATTTTATTTGCAGTTTAACAGCAATCTATTTAACACACTAAGCTTTACAAGTTTTATTGCAGTACACTTATATATTTCCTTCATTCTTGAGTTTTTAACATTGAATTTGAATTTTTCTGTCAGCTTAAGCAGTATGGCTAAAATTTTCAGATTTCTGTGGGAGCATCATCTTTACATGTCTAGAAGTACCTTTCTGTTATTCTTGTATGTAATTGAGAATTGGCAAGTCAAAGTTAATATAGTATTTTTTTTCAATTAGTCCATTTTTCTCTCTCCTTTTCTTTGTCTAGTTTCCTTTCTATCTGTTTATAGGTAATTTACCTAAGCATTTCAGAAAAATTACATGAAGGGACAACTGGCCCAATGCCATTTTTAACCAAGAGCCTATAGTATCATTATTCAGAAGGACAAATTAAGTAATCAATGTTTTTCTACCAGACTGTGTAGATATTCAGTGTGGGATAGAACCACTCTCAGAGAAATGCAGTTTATGCATCACAAGGGCTCTGCTCTACCTTAACTCTTCAGCTACTTATTTCTGAGCTTTCTCATAATAGGTCACATCAGATAGACAGTTTGAAATGGGAAGCAAAAGGAGACAGGATTGGACACGATATTTGTTCTCTGCTGGTTGAGAAGCCTAGGATGTTAAATCTAAGATCTGAAAAGCTAATTTGACTGTACACATGCCACCTTTGGAAACTGTTAGCACATACAGATTACGTGCATTCTCATATTCTCATTGTAGAAAGTTTTATGATATATTAGATATTTTATCCTAAAAACATGAGGGAATCTAATTATAGTGTGATAGCCTGCCCTACCTCCTGCCCATTTATTACCTTTTTTCTTATTTATGTGTTGATTTGCTTTGTCTCTTTATTTTGAGTAGTACCATGGTATGTTGATGATTGGCCACACTAATATCAGGTATTTCAGAGATTTGAGCAAGGGATGGAGGTAGAGAAATTGAAGGCCCTTGCAGAGCCAACCTGAAGCACCATCACCACAGTGGGGTGAGCTCATGTTCTGATCTGATTATGATATTATGAGAGTGACCATCTCTTCATTTAAGCATTAATTGCCTGCTGTCACCTGGAGTTGAGCAAAAGCAGAGTTATTTCTGAAATGTACCCTCCTCTCAGTTTTTCATTTACTTTTTTTTTTTTTTTTTGCTAGAGTTCCCATAGAAAATTGGTCTGACTCAGTTGTCAAATGAATTTTTCTTGCTCAGATAATATTTTATGCTCTTCTGTAGTAAACCAGAATTTAACACCTTCAGTTTTTATCAAATTATTTTTAACTTGGGGGCATTTCAGATGTTGAAAGTTTGCCACCGAGTCAGTGGGGATTATGTGAGGGGATTATAAGTTATTTTACCTCATACCTGAGTATGAGCAAATTCCTCTCCTACTTGTATTATTTTCCCTCTCAGAGTAGTAAAAACAGTCATCTTTTTACTCACCTACATTAGTGGTTGAGGAAACTATTTGTCAAATAGCTAACTCTTTCAGAATAGGACTTTGGAGTTTATTTATTTTCTATATTTCACACTGTTTTAGATTGTTAGTGACGAGTATGTGCAGGTCAGGTTCATTGGCAGATAGGGTGAATCATACCTGTTGAGCAGATTTCATTTAATCAACAAATAATCCATGAGCATCTGCTGTGTGCCTGGTGGTGTACAAACACTGGAAATTCACTGATGCAGATGACATTTGATCTTTTTCCTGAAGGCATTGCAGAAAGATGAGAAGAAGCTTGGATGGACATTCTCGGGGGCCTTCTGTGGTCCTGCCAGTCTGCTGAGGATGCTTTCTCACCATCATCTTCTTCTGCAGGGCCATCTTATTCATTGTGTTACAGGGCAGCCCCACTGTGAAATGTGGTGGCCCGAGTGTGGGTCCTCACCCCTGTGCTTAAAAGGGACTTATCATGAGACTCAACTGCAGGTTAATAAAGGGTTTATTTACAAAAAGGGGAAAATCAAGAAATGAATAACTGAGGGATAAAGAGAGAGAGAGAAATTTGTGAATGCGGCCTACCAGTTCTGCTGAGCTGGAACCCCAATAGCACACTGAAAGCTGGCGAAAAACCAAACACCCCCAAGGCCCACATATCTGGTTATATACCAAGCCTGGCTACTTAGCTCCATCCTCAGTTCCCAGCAATCTTCCCTTCAGTGGTGATGATGACATTATGGGATTTGTAGTCTTTGGTGTCTTGGATCTCTTTGGTCTGGGTTCGGGGAGGCGTCCATAAAACCTGTGTTTGTGCGGTTGTTCAGGACATCCTTCCCCCCAACAATTGTATCTTTATATAAAAGTAAGGAGCCTTATTATTCTATATATGCACATGATTATGTTATTTTGTAAAGAAATCGCTTTATCTTTTTAGTGTAAATTGCAGATACATCCTGCCATAAAAAACTGAGTGCTAAACATTTAAAATTTAAATCAATACTTGACAACCCTGATTGAATGTTGGAATCCTCTGGAGAGATTTTAGCATATTCTGTTCTTACCTCTTTCTCCCCAGAACCTGATTTAAATATCTGGGGTGAGGCCAAGTTATTGGTTTGGATGGGTGGTTGGGTGAATCAATGAAAGGATAAATGAAAATTTTATAATGTATTATTGAAGACACCTGAACAAACAAATGTAAGGGCAGGAAAATACAGTGAAGCCAGAGCTCACAGACCTCCACAGAGCACAGTACTACAAAGCCTGTGGACCTGGACCCCATTTGGACATTGTGCTTTTTAGCAGCATGATAAAAGAAAACTTGGTAAGGTGCATAATCATGCTGCTGGCCATTAAATTAAAAGCAAACTTGTCGGGCCTCCCCAGTGGCGCAGCGGTTGAGCGCTGGGTTGCGAAGCTGCCCGCAGCCTCTGCAGCGCTGGTTCGATCCCCGGCTGCTCCCCGGCCACCAGAGGAGGGTCCCACATGGCGCGCAGACCTCCCCTGCCGCCCGCTGCTCCCCTCAGCAGTGTACCTCGGTCCTTCTGCCTGCTCTCTTCCCCGCTCTGGCTCTGGTGAATTCTCTCACCCTTCCGCGCTTCTGACTGTGCCCAGTGCTAGTATAAATAAATAAAAATAAATAAAATCTTTAAAAAAAAAAAAAAAGCAATCTTGTCTATGAAAACCAGGGCTTTTTAGGACCCCTGATCATGAGGTATGGGACATTTCTAGCATATTTCAAGGGGGCAAGCAATAATGTTTTTCATAAGGGAGCTTGATGGATGACCTTTTCAGTGAACTGAATGCCAGACAGGTTGAGTCTCAGAAAAAATTGGTTTGTGAGGTGCCTTCCATGTATATTATGGAATTCCTACAGCCCAGCACCCCTTTATTGCCTGATCATGCCTTCAGGCCCTGCATTGCCTTAGCCTTGTTTGTCCTTAGTCATTTGATCACATCATCTGTCCTTGCCACTTGCTAACAACTTTGCTTTAACCATACTGCCATAACCATAACCAATGTCCCTTGGCCATACAAAGCTCATACTTTCCTCATGGCCTTTATATTTTCTAAAATTTCCTCCATCTGGAACACTGTTTCCCACAAGGCTAACTCCTTGTCATTCAGGACTTGATCAAGTGTCACTTTCTTTACCTCCTTCTGTAATGGCTCCCCACTCCCGTATATTGATGGTGTTCCATCATATTATTCTGTTCTCCTGCTTGTAAAGCAGTTTTCAACATTTGAAATTAACTTAGTGATCTTACCGTGGTCTTCTGCACTCTATATGTCATCCTGCTTGCGGCTCTATTCCCAGTGCCTAAAACTGTGCTTGACACTATAGTTGATCAGTAAACATTAATTGAATGAATGAACCAATCTTTTTATAAATACTTAATGTATGCAGCTATGCTATGTTTTTGATTAAGCCCAGAACCATACCCTTTATTAGTCAACCAAATTGGAAATAAGACTGATATCTTCTCAGTAGAGGGGAAGTCACAGACAAGAGCCAGTGGCCAAACTAAAGATTACCTCTCTTTGTAGACAGTTTGAAGACTGTTTTATTTATCCTCTTCCTACTTATAAATTCACAGTGGCCTGAAAAGGCATTATTCGAGTGGTGGTGGTTTTCCCTATTTGTCTTGTAGTCAATTGTTTATGTTTAAACTCCCAGTTCCAAGCATTAGAATTTCAACATGAAACTCCAATTTTTCCTGGGCCATGTGAGAAACTTGGTTCTGAGCCTCGATTCCACTTTTGTGAAATAAGATTATGGTAGTAGTAGCTACAACATAAAATTGTTTTGAGAATGAAAGGGGATAATCCTTAAAAAACACTTAGCTTAACACCTGACATAGGGGATACACTCGAGAATTTATTAATTAATTTATTACAGACATTGTCACAATAATGCTAGTGACAGTTTGGTTTGTTCATTATTATTATCCTTAATTTTATTTTCTTCCTGCTTTCTCTTCTAACCCACTGTTTTCAGAAATGGCATCACCAAGAATCAATTTTATTAGGTCTCTGAATACACATGCCAGTCTGATATATATTAACCAAAAATAAGCCCAAACACTCAGTAGTCATCTTATATCATTTTAGTGTAATAATTCCCAGGGCCAATAATTGTTTTTGTCAGAGTCAACTCTTCTAATAGGGATCTCTTTTTATCTTTTCTATGCCGTTTATGACTTGCCATGGAAACAGAGGAGAAAGCCAAGAAGGAAGCAGAGGAAAAGGCTCGCTTGGCTGCAGAGGAGAAGCAGAAGGAAATGGAAGCCAAAGGCCAGGCTGAAGAAGGAGCATCTGGCAATGCTGAGAAAAAGACGTCTGAGGAAGCTAAGAACCAAGTCAATGGAACGCGCACCAACAAAAACCACAACCCTCGTGGGAAGAATTCCAAAGCTGAGAAGTCGTCAGGAGAAAAGCAACAGAATGGTGAGTAGAAATTGTGCTGGTGAAAAGCTCTTTTCAGGGTGTTAATGACGTGATGAATGGAAACTGACAAACAGCTGTGCCTATGAGGCAGCTCCCGGAGCAGCAGCGCTGGCTTCCCTGGTCACCCAGCTGCTGTGGATCCTGCCACACTGGGCTGTGGATCCCATCAGGATCCCATCAGGATCCCATCAGAAGCAGCCAGAAGCTGTCTGAGGATATTTATACCTTTTGGGCCCTTCCCAGCTGTTTTGGGGACTCTGAGCAGTGTCTCCTGCCCACTGGGGAAGTTACTGTTAACAACCCAGCACATTCCTGAGTGCTTGCTGCCCAGATGGGTGATGGAAGAGCCATATTTCTGTGTATAGCATCCTAGCAGGCCCTGTCTCAGGTCTGCCCCAGCTCAGCTCCTGTAGTGTGTACCTGTTTATCTGTAGGTGAGTAGCTGTATACTAATTTAGGGTGACCAGCTGCCCCAGTTTGCCTGAGACTGAGGGGATTTCCTGGGATGCGAGGAATTCAGTTTTTAATCCAGAAAAGACTCAGGCAAACCAAGAAGAGCTGCTCACCATAGTGTGCGTATAGTTGACGGTTTCTTGTATTTAATGCACAAAATATTTGTTGATTAGGAACTACTTGCCAAGCAGTGTGCTTTAGAAAGTGAAAGGCTACAGGAGTCCATGATCTCGCAGGATGTATAGATATTGTCACAAGTAATTCTAGTCACTTGTGAACAAGTAACAGTAGTGCCATGGCAGAAGAGATGCCCAAAGGCCGCGTGCAAAGGCAGAGACAGCTTTGCTGGGTGTGGGGGTTGTGGAGTGGAGTAAATGTCAAGGAGGGCTTCAAGAGGAGGTGATATCTGAGCTGGGCTCTGTTTTATTTTTTAATTGCATTATTTTTTATTGAGGTAATGGTGGCTTAAACAATACTGTGTATTATTGTGGGAATATGGGTACACAACTATTCAGTGTATATTTTCATACCACACCCACCATGTAAGTAGCCACAGTCCTCCACATTCCATTGGAACCTCTTTCCCTTTTAATCCAAACCTCTTCCTTCCTTTTATGATAGCCTAAATTCTACAGTCAAATTTCTAGCGTTTGTTTTGGTTTAATTTTGTCTGTTCCTTTGTTTTGTTTTTTTATAGTCCATGTGAGTGTAATCACCCATTATTTATCTTTCTCATTTTGACTTAGTTCACTTAGTATGATCTCTTCCAGTGCCATTCACGCTATCACAAATGACAAAATTTCTTTTTTATAGCTGAATAGTATTCCATTGAGTGAGAGAGAGAGAGAGAGAGAGAGAGAGAGAGAGAGTGAGTGTTGGTGTGCATGTGTGTGTATAATGAAGAGCTGGGTTTTAAATGCTATAGTTTGCTGCTCCGCTGTGAGACAGTGACTTATTACCGGGAGAGTAAATGAGCTAGCACTCACAGGTGTGACATTGGTTACCTGTTTTAAGGAATAACAGGAAGTTCAGAGTCTCTGGAGTGTTCCAGTGCCAGCTTGTGGCAAGGTAGCTTGACCTTGCTTCAAGTTAGACCAGGATTCAAGACACAACCGTTTCTCACTTCTCAGTGATCTTGGTCAGGTTACGTAACCTTCTACTTAATCCTCATGTAGAATGTACGTGCTCACAGCACGGGCCACTGGTGAGCTTCCAATAATAATAGCAAAACAGTGACAGTAAAACAATCAGCGATTACTGACTATATGCCTGATGCTGTTTTAAGTTCTCTCTTTACAAATTCACCCTTACCTGCCTGTTGGGCCAAGTGACCTGCTCAGAACTGTGTCTTAGCTGTTATGCTACATAGGCCGAGGGAAGGAGAGCTATGTAAATGTGCTTACACAACATACTTCAATCATTTTTACAATCAGCATAAATAAAAATAGAACCAGAAGACAGTATATTACACAAAAGTAATGATGTTCCCTGAACTGAGCATCACCAACCAGATACTGTCATAGCAGACAGGCTCAGAGCTTGCTCTTGCCCCACCCCAGCACCCCAGCTGCTCTGGAGTGACAGAAAAGGTGTGTGTCTTGTGAAAAACACCTCAGCGGGGGCTGAGAGCTGGAGATATGGGGGTCTGGACTGAGTTCTGCATGCTCAACTCCTCCTTCCAGATGAATCTCTCCTTCTCAAAGGTGGGGTATATAAGGGCTAGTGAAAGAGACAAGGCATGTTTCTTCCCTGCTTTTTTCCTTTTAGAAGAGTGGGTTAAAAATTTCTTTCCCTCAACAAAAAGAGTCATCATAGTATCACTTGCATTTATTGAGTGTTAAATCATTTTAAGAACCTAACAACTCTGACATGTGGATGCACCTTTTCTGTTTCACACGAGGAAACTAACTCAAAGAGGTTAAGTCACTTTTTTAAGGTCTGACAGCCACTTAAAAAAAAAAGGAGCGATTTCAAGTCAGATTCAGATCTAAATTAATCCAAATTCTCCATCTACTGACCCTTTTGGGCACCATCGAGGACAGTGGGGAGTCCCCAAAATATTGAGTCTCAGCAGCTGCTCACAAGAAGCTTATATTCACTTATTCCCGGGTGGGCACACTTTCTGGAAAGAACAATAGAGTATTTTACACTTTGCAAGCCATATAATCTCTGTTTGTACTACTCAGCACTGCTGGGTTTGCAGAATTAACACATAAACAAATGGGCATGACTGTGTTCCAATAAAACTTTACTTACGGAAATTGAAATTTTAATTCTATATAATTTTCACATCATGAAATTCTCCTCTTCCCCGCCCCCCAACCATTTAATAATATTAAAAAAAAAAAACACTCTTGGTTTGTGTGCCACATAAAACTAGAAAAACCGGGCCTCCCAGGTGGCGCAGCGGTTGAGCGCTGGGTTGGGAAGCTGCCCGCAGCCTCTGCAGCGCCAGTTCAATCCCTGGCCGCTGGGCGAGGTCCCACATGGCACGCAGACCTCTCCTGCCGCCCGCTGTTCCCCTCAACAGTGTACTTCGTTGGTCTGCCTGTTCTGTTCCCCTCTCTGGCTTTGGTGAATTCTCTCACCCTCCCGCACTTCTGACTGTACCCAGTGCTTGTATAAATAAATAAATAAAGCTTTAAAAAAAAAAGTAAAAAAAAAAAAAACTAGAAAAACCAATGAGCCCATCACAAAGGTTATAAATTCTGTAAGAGAAGTCTAAACAAAAACCTGGGGAGGGCAGAGGTGACAATAATTTATTTTGAGGACAACTACAGGGAGTAAGTGAAGGATTTAAAGCAGGAGCCTGGGTCTTCAGCTGGATCGCGTTGATGTCACAACTTTTATTTCCCAACATTAGCAGCAGTCTACCATTTCCCTTAAAAATTAAGTATTAAATGAGAGGTGGGAAAAGAAATCAATTTAGCACAATAATAAGAAAAGCTAACAGTGGTCAGGACTGTATTACAGCAGCCTAATTAAAATGATTTATAACTACACAGAAAGGCTCTTTGTTTCCTTCTGTTTATTGAATAACAGCTCACAATTGACCATTACTGCATATACGACCCATGGGAAATGACCTAATGGATCTGTTCAAGGAACATCATCAAACAAACATGTGTCACTTTTCCAGCACACTCCTCTGTGACCACCTCAGATATTTGCTGTTTGGAGCACAAGGACGTTGGTTAGTTGGGCTTACAGCAGTTCGGTCCCCTATCAACAGTTATGAGAGCCTCCAAACTTTGGTCTGCATCAAGCCACTTCCCCTTTCAGCCTTCTCAACATTGACTGAAGAGAAGGCAGGTTGCCTTGTGTGACTGGTTGGCAAATCCAACTGCTCCTACTGACCTTCTGGAAGACCTCCTGGTCTTGCTGCCTCTGCGTAAAGCTCCAGTCCAGGGCATGTTGAAGCCTAGAGTATTGTGCCTTAAGGGTGTGAAGAAGGCTCATTTAGGAAAGAAAGATCATTTTTCTTCAAGGAATTAATTTTATTACAGTGCTCAAGATCCTCCAGTTCATCTCTGGTATCTTTAAAATGGGTAAAAGTTGGGCCTCCCTGGTGGCTCAAGGGGTTAAGATGCAACCTATGAAGCTATCTGCAACCAATGCAGCATGAGTTCAATCCCCGGCCAGGGAGCTACCCACATGGTGCAGCAGACCTCTCCTGACTCGCCCGCTGCTCCCCTCAGCAGTGTATTTCAGTCAGTCTGCCTCTTCTGCTCCCCACTCCATCTCTGGTGAATCCTCTCATCCCACCTCACCCCCCGCACCTCTGGCCTGTACCCCAGTTCTTGTATGCATAAATAATCTTTAAAAAAAATAAAATGGGTAAAAGTCAGTCCCGTTTGGCCATTGGTGGTAGAAGAGGGCGATAACCAGTTCCTTCGCTTCAAGCCCTCCTGTTTTCACAATCAGAGTCCACTCTCCTTCCCCTCAATCCCAGGAGCCAGTTCATCCCATTTTAGAATTAAGAATAAGAGGAAACTTGGAAGGTTTATTGACTCAGAACATAGCTTAGCACATATCACATTCTCTTAGAAGTACTTTGTAGACTATATATCAGCACAAAATGGTCTTGAATTATTCTAGATAACTGTTTCCTTAACAATCTATGAGATATTAGCAATGGCAACAGAAAGTGGAAGCCTAAAGCCTAAAACTTGAGCTTCATCAGGAAGCTGAAAATTATAATAGCTGAGAACTTGGCCTCCAAAATCAAACCCATCTGTGTACATTGTGTTAAATCACCTTATCTGTGACTTAGGTCCCATAGACATAAAATGGAGATGATAATGTGAGTTTCACATCAATTTTCCACTAGTCAGTTCAAGTAAAATCACTTTGTAGAAAGAGCAATTAGCCATTTGTTCAGAAGCTGTCAGATGAATGGTTTAAACCAGATCGACGACAGCCAATATGCATAATTTTGCTGCCAGAGCGACCTGCAGGTGCAGAGGTGGGCCAGGAGGTGTGTGACATGCAGGCGGGTGAGCCATTCATTGTGGTCCCCATGGCTGGACTTACCGGTGTGTGACTGAGTTCGTGCAGGAGGTCTAGGAAAAACTCAAACTTGGAAAACATCCTCAATCATTTAGTGAGTTTGTTATTTAGCAAATTGAACATTTAGTACGGTAATCTTTGATGAAGTGTTCTGTTTTAAATAATAGTACCTCCATATTGGGGTTTTTATAAGAATTTAATGAAATGATGTATGCAAAGCATTTACACATTTCCTGGCACAAAGAAAGCACAGAAGATAAATGTACCCCTTCCCATATTGGATTCTGCTCACTCTTTCCTGGTTACAATTATTACTAGAGCCTTTTTGCTTCACTAAGTACTGCTATTTTAGTAGTAATATATTCTTGGTTTTATGCAGGCTAAAAAGAAAGCTGTTGTTAGTAAGGCTGGTAGGAAAAATATCCAAAAGCTGAGAATAAGACTTGAGGAAGGGATGTCATGTCCTTTCATGATATGTGTTCCATACCCACATATTGTTGAACAGAACTACCCAAAGATTATTTAATTATTTTAGGCAGCAGTCAGCAAACTTTTTTTTTCTTTTTGTAAAGGGTCATATAATATTTATTCCTGGATTTTATTCATCTCTGTTGCAACTATTCATCTCTGTCACTGCCGCATAGAAACAGCCATAGACTCCAAAGGAATGAATATTTCTGGCTTCGAGTAAAAACTATAATTACATATTGGCCCACGAACCACAATTTGCTGGCCCCTGCTTTAGGAGTATGTGCCGAATTTAACTTTTTCATTTACTATTTGATTCAAGTCCAGATCTTCTGAGTTTGTATGTTCACTTGTAGATTTTTGACCCATAGAGGAGTTACCCCAAATGTTCTGAAGGACATTACCAGTTTGTTCTCTAATCTGGCAATCCTATTTTAACATATTTATAAATTGCCTGTAAATCCCCAGTTCCTTGAGTGCTCTTGGAAACATCCTTACTATCTCACTGTTTCTTCATAAGTGAGTTAAATTTTTGGCATATCTACTCTATATGTGTATGCAAAGACATATTTTGACTTTTATAAATTATCTTTCAACAAGCTCATTAATTAGAAAACCATTTATAGCTGTTTAATAACAACTATGCTTAAAGATGTGTCAGATATCACCCTCTATACCTTAAATGCATTTGTCTTGACATTTTGTCCATGAAGTAGTTGTTATCCCCATGTTGCACATAAGGAAACTGAAGTACAAAGGCATTAATTGATTTAACTTATATTGGACTCATATTTCCCCTCACTCCACAGCCCAACAGTCCTTCTTGGAGGAAAAATACCATTGACTTAATTACAACCCTGTTTAACAAGAACTTTCCATCTTAATTTATGGACCATAATCCAATTTCCAGGACCTAATATGTGGTTATAAAAAATATTTACACTCAGACAAATACCTCCTCATTACTACAATTATGCTATACTTTTAATCTTTTTGGGTTTGACAGGTTTAAAGTTATTTATAACCTCCCCCTTAGCTATATACATCTACTGTTTGTCATGTTTATCACTTTCAGGTGACTTGAAAGATGGTAAAAATAAGACTGACAAGAAGGATCAATCCAATGTCGGAAATGATTCAAAGAAAACAGATGGTAAGAGCATAATTCCCACTACTTTTTTTCCATAAAATGTGTAATTTAATGCAAGCTGGTTAAAATTGCACCTAAAATTGAAATAGTGGTTGTTAATATGTTCTCATATTATACCCTGTAAAAACACTTCACTATTTTTAAAGAACATTATTATCCCTTTATTCAATACTTTACAAATTACTGTTGTATCTCTTCCCCGCCCCCATCATACCTTTTCTATCACAATTGTATTCTATGCTCTCTCTTTTCTCACTGCCATTTTTCCTTTTAAACTTTATAAAATGTTGCCTCTGGACTTATTGTAATAGGATGAAATATGGGTCTTTGATCATGAATTATGCAATGTAAATGGGAAATGTTCCATGGTGTCCATTTTGTTTTCCTTTTAATATAGTTACTACTTTTGGCAGAAACAGAAATCTCTGTAGTGTTACCATTGTGCTGTGAAGCCCACATAGATAGCATCCATAGCTGTGGAATGTAGTTTGGTCAGCAAGAGTAATTCTTTTTTTTTTTTTTTTTTGCTGTAATACCTGCTTTATTTCAAGCACTTGTGAAAGGTGTACTTCCATTATCTTTCTTTTTTTTTAAATAATAAATTTTATTTTTATATTCCCCATACAATTGCAACCCCCCCCTTCTGACCCCAATCCCTCCCCTCCCGCCCCCCACCCCCAAAAAGTGTCTCTGGTTCATAGTTTTTTGTTGATTTTGATTTTCACTTTCTTTTAGTTATTCATTTTCCTGGTCTCTTATTTAAGTTTTCTAGATTCCTGCTATGAGTGAGACCATCCGATATTTTTCTTTTTCTTTTTGGCTTATTTCGCTGAGCATGATCCCTTCCAGTGCCATCCATGTTGCTGCAAATTGCATGTGTTTATCTTTTTTGAATGCTGAGTAATATTCCATGGTGTATATGTACCACATCTTCTTGATCCAGTCATCTATTTTTGGGCATTTGGGCTGTTTCCAAAGCTTAGCTATTGTAAATAGTGCTGCTATAAACATAGGGGTGCAGGTCCTCTTTGGAATTGATGTTTCTGTGTCCTTTGTGTAAATACCTAGGAGTGGAATTGCTGGATCATATGGAAGCTCTATGTTAGTAGGTCCAGAAATCTCCACACAGCTCTCCATAGTGGTTGGACCAGTTTGCACTCCCACCAACAGTGCAGGAGAATTCCTTTTTCTCCACAACCTTGCCAACATTTGTTGTTGCTAGTTTTTTTAATATGTGCCATTCTCACTGGTGTAAGATGGTATCTCATGGTAGTTTTGATTTGCATTTCCCTGATTGCAAGTGATGTTGAACATTTTTTCATATGTCTGTTGGCCATTTGCATTTCCTCTTCAGAGAAGTTTCTTTTTAGCTCTTCTGCCCATTTTTTGACTGGATTATTTTCTTTGTTGTTGTTGAGTCTCATCAGCTCTTTGCAGATTTTTGTGATCAGTCCTTTATCATTAGTGTTGGGTGCAAAAATGTTCTCCCAGTTGGTGGGGTTTCTCTTTGTTTTTGTTATTGTCTCTTTTGCTGTGCAGAAGCTCTTTAATTTGATGTAGTCCCAGCAAGAGTAATTCTTAAAGGCAAACTTGGGTGACAACCTCAAACCAGTTAGAATGAACTTACATTGTAACATGCTTCATGAGCACTGCTGTTATTTTTCATTAAGAACCATTTCACTCTTTCTAAAACCTGACAGTTCAAATTATTACTACCCCCCAAACTTTGTATACTCTGAAAAACAACTTTTACCTTTTATATAAATCTCCAGTTTCAGTTATAATAAGGACTCATTTCTAGCTATTTCCTCATACACGTATATGACATTAAACTAAAAATGGAAGCTTCTAAGGAATGGCTTTTGATAGAGTCCCACACCCTCATTGAATCATTCCTCCCCAGAGACATCACGCAAGATACTAGGCTTTTCTGTGTTTTGTTTGTTTATAATCCCACTGAAGAACAAATGCTGGGTAAACAGGTTGAGGGGTAAGAAGAAATATGAACACAGCCTTCCCACATCTGTTACAAAAGAAACACTTCCTTTAGCTTTCATCTCAAAGCCATTGTGATTAATTTCCTATACTCACATGTTTGAAATCAGTTCTCAAATCTTCACTTTTAAGGTCATTCAAATAATTCACTCCATGTATCTTATCACATAATTTTTGAGGAATACACAGCTGCAATTTTTCACCAAATTGTTTATACAAATGGAAACCACTTAGGTAATAAATACACTCTCCTTGAGTGATTGTGACTAAGATATGAATCACAGGAGATAAAATAGATTTAGAAATGACAGTCTCTCTGGGCCTCCCCAGTGGCGCAGCAGTTGAGCGCTGGGCTGTGAAGCTGCCTGCAGCCTCTCCAGCAACGGTTTGTTTCCAGGTGAGGGTCCCACATGGCACGCAGACCTCTCCTGCTGCCCGCTGCTCCCCTCAGCAGTGTACTTCGTCAGTCTGCCTGTTCTGCTCTCCACTCTGGCTCTGGTGAATTCTCTTACCCTCCTGCACTTCTGACTGTACCCAGTGCTTGTATAAATAAATAAATAAATATTAAAAAAAAAAAAAAAGAAATGACAGTCTCTCAGCCAGATTCTGGTATGGGCAAGGCTTATTCAGATACTACAGGTTCTCTGCCTTGTATCATTAGAACCCAATCAAGGTAGCACAAGTCAGACAATAAATATACAGTAGAGAATGGTGTTAGCTATAAACCTAGCACCTGGACACCTGACCCATCTTGCATCCACCAACTGGCCGCATCTGAATTTCTTCAACGTAAAAGTCCAAAATAAGTCAAGTTCCAAATCTTTAACATGAGGTTTTGAATCTTGTTGTATATCTGTATTGTGCTATAAATATCTGTTATAATGTTGTCATGTGGCCATTGTGGATTAGATTTTATTACCTTCATCCTGCCCCTTTTATTTTGCCCCTTTTAACTAAATTGCCCCCAAATGCTTAAAATAATTACACATTTCTTTGTGAGGAGGAGTGATAAAATAGATATTATATTTTATCATATGTGTAAATATAAAGCTTGATTGTTTGATGAACAGGAATCTTGGTACTCTAGGGCAAGTCTGTAGTGAATAAAGTGAATGCATAGACTGTAGTGAATAAAGAGGAGACATCTTCTAACAACCTTTTCCCCATTAACTCCAATCTTTCACTATTTCAGATGGTGCCTGTTGTGTACCTATGCTTGCAAGTTTGTACCCAAGCATTGGCATAAATGACTTTGACAGATTATATGACAATAGTTTTTATCATTCGTTTGGTATCATCAGCCCTTAGATCATTGAGCTAAAGTTACTTCTGCTATCTTAGCCCCAAATTTTTACCAGAACTAAAGCTAATTCTTGGTGGCATGAAGTGGGAAAGAAATCAATTAGTCTCACCAGCCCCTTACCCTTTGGTTATCAAAGATCTCTACTTTAGAAAATTTTAATTCCAATATGTGTAGATATGTACATATGTTGATTTTTCAAAGCTATGGAGAAACCAGCAGATATATTTTGAACATTTCTATTAGTAGATCCAATTACATTGGATGACCAAGGGAAGTCAACTTAACCATTTTTAATGCCTCTACTCCTAATCCAACCCCTGAGCACTAATGGTGACCAGCGCTGTCTAATTTTTCAGAGGGAGTATCCAGGTACAATTCAGTGCACAGAAGGATCACACCCATTGTGGATGAAGTGCCAGTGCTGTATACATTCAGAAAGTAACTCAATGGAAACTGAACCACAGTTAGTTATTCCTAAACTCCAGTGAGCTGAGGCATGCACAGTGGGGAGGAATGAGGGCTGAAAGGGCAAATTACCTCCTGGTATAATGAACACAATGCAATTGTACATTATCTCTGTCAGGCTACTAGGGTACTCTTTAGTACCCTGCAGCACTAATTTTCTAACTGACTTCGAAGAATGGTGTTCTTTGAAATACACTACTTAGTCTCAGGGAGAAATGTACTAACAAAAAAGATCTCGGCATCTAAGTCAAGATTCTCTCAGTGCCTAAACTTTTACACTGTTGCTGGAAGGCGAGTGGGAGCACCCCATGGATGAGTGATTGCCAGTGTGTTTCCAGTCATGTTGTAACAGCACAGCCTCTTGAAGGAGGACATGCCATAAACTTTTCTAGTTGCCCAGAAACATGGACTTGTCTTAACTTTACTTGAGTACATTAGGTGATAGTCACTCAAAAGATTTACTGTAATTTTTCTGTGTACGCATCTCTCAAAGGTTTTTATAATTAGACCCTAAAGGGTTACTTGCCCAGTCCCCAGGAGGGAGATCAGCAGAAACTTCTCCTTCATGGACTGTTCTGAGAGTTGGAATACTTACAGATGTTGGTCCATGAAATTTAAAATTCAGTTGTAAACAGAGGGAAGAGTGTACAGAAGACAATCTATGGAAATTTGCTTCTGTCGAAGTGGAGTTAGAAGAATTAGATTGTCCCTTCTACCTGAAATTTTTTTACGAATATATATATATATGGTTTTCAAGATACTGATCATCAAAAAATGAACAACAGTGAGAGACAGAAAAAAAAAAAGTGAGACCTCTACTGCTACAGTTTACTGCCTTCAGGGGGTTTTCAGGCAGAGAGGGGGAAACCCAGACTGACAGATGGACTCCCTGAATTGAGGAATTAACTAACAATCAGCAAGCCCTGGGGCTCACAAGAATTCCTGAATAAAGAAATACTTCTTGTTTGTTTTCTTTTTAGCTGACCTCTACCAAGTTAGTTTGGAATGGAATAAATAAATTCAGTGGATGACTTTGGGCTTTAGATATCTTTTGTTCTATTAGAATAGATTTACAAAGGTATTAATAAACCAGTAGAAAAATATAGTCTAAGCCTTTCCACTTAAGTTATACTTAATGTTTTTATTTTTCAGCTGAAGTTGAAAATTTTTTTAGTTGCTTAAAGGGTAGAGCATGATGACTTGCTCTGTCATGGAATCAGTAGTGAGAGACAGAAGGGCA